TTAATATGGGACCTGAAAGATAGAGTGGCGTCCTGAATGACGCCCAGGTTGTGCACCTCAGGAGAAGGGGAAATGCAGCAGCCATCCACTACCAGAGCCAGGTCACCAACTTCCCTGAGCAGTTACTGTTCAGTTTGAGTAGGTTTGTGGTCATCCATGTTTTGAGTTCCTGCAAGCAGTTGACTGGTTGTGTGGGTGGAAGCTGGGAGGAGGGGTTTGTGCTGATATAAAGTTGAATGTCATCGGCGTAGCAGTGGTAGCTGAGTCCATGTTTACGGATAATCTGACCTATGGGTAGTGTGTAAATGGTGAACAACAGCGGACCAAGCACAGAGCCCTGGGGTACACCATGGTTGGGCGGGTGCTGGATCAGAATTTGAGCCATTTAGGGCGATGAATTGTTTCTGGTCAGTGAGATAGGACCGGAACCAGGACAGTGTTGTGCCTCTGAGGCCGATGAGCTCAGACAGACGGTGGAGAAGGATAGTATGTGAAACTGTATTAAAGGATTAGTTCACTTTTGAAAAAACTTTTGCTGATAATTTACTCACCCCCATGTCATCCAAGATGTCCATGTCTTTCTTTCCTCAGTCGAAAAGAAATTTAGGTTTTTGATGAAAACATTCCAGGATTTTTCTCCATATAATGGACTTCAATGGGAACCGGATGGTTCAAGGTCCAAAAGATAGTGTTAATAACAGTTCCAGATGCAGCTTCAAATGTCTTTAAACGACACCAAACGATGAATAAGGGTCTTATCATGCGAAACGATCGGTTATTTCAAAACTTGTTCCAAAAATTTAACTTTTCTAAGGACAAATGCTAGCCTTGCTCTATTCTCTGAGGCGCGTTTGTAACGTCACGTAATACGTAATTACGTTCAAAAGGTCACGGGCGACGTAGCCGGAAGTACAGAATCAAAATCGTCCGACATCGTTGTTTTTCCTTTTAATTCCTTTTTTTGTAAACGGTGTTTGAGCTAGTTTGCACGTTCAACCTATGCGTTCAACTTGTAAACACTGACTCTGTACTTTCGGCTACGTCGTCCGTGACCTTTTGAACGTAATTACGTAATACGGGACGTTGCAAACGCGCCTCACAGAATAGAGCAAGGCTAGCATTTGTCCTTAGAAAAGTTACATTTTTGGAATAAGTTTTGAAATAACCGATCGTTTCGCATGATAAGACCCTTATTCATCGTTTGGTGTCGTTTAAAGACATTTGAAGCTGCATCTGAAACTGTTATTAACTGTCTTTTGGACCTTGAACCATCCGGTTCCCATTGAAGTCCATTATATGGAGAAAAATCCTGGAATGTTTTCATCAAAAACCTAAATTTCTTTTCGACTGAGGAAAGAAAGACATGGACATCTTGGATGACATGGGGGTGAGTAAATTATCAGCAAAAGTTTTTTCAAAAGTGAACTAATCCTTTAAAAGCTGCAGAGAGGTCGAGAAAGGTGAGGATGGAGATGGGGCCGTTGTCAGCAGCAAGAAGGAGGTCATTAGTGATTTTGATGAGGGCGGTCTCAGCACTATAGTGTCTACTCCTATCTAAAGGTGAACTACTCCTTTAACAACATAGTGACTCTTGAACTGATGAAAGACTGTTGAAACGTCTTTCAGTGGACAAAAACTCCATGAATCAGTTTTGAAATATTTGAGTTGTGAAAATAACACGATCTAGGATCTTTAGCAGTGTGGGAATATCTATTCCTCACAGCCTCGTTTTCATCCCCGTTCAATATGGCGTCTAACCTGACTAATGGCGCTTTTCCACTGCACAGTACGGTACGGTTCGGCTCAGTACGCTTCGACTCGGCGCGGAACAGTTCGGCTCGCTTTGCGTTTCCACTGCAGTAGTACCCCTTTAAAGTGTGTGGGACTGATCGTTATTTGCGCGCGCCTCTACTGCCATGACATCATCTTAAAAGCGCCACATTTTCAAACCCACAACACAGGAACAATGGAGACTATCGAGGGGATGATGTTCCTGATTCTCGGTATGTGGTTGTTTTTAACTGCTAGACGGAAAAATGTGTTTAAAATGAGGCTGGTGGCAGCAAAACAAAAATACTGCTAAAAAAGTGTCTTGTATCGCAAATCCAATGACGCTAGTAGTGACGATTCTGTCTGACCAATCAGTGATCTGCAGTGTTTCACGTCACATTTTAGTACCGGTACGGTACGCTTGGAACCTCAACAGACCAGGTACCATTTAAAGCGACCTGAAGCGAACCGTACTGTACCGTACTATGCAGTGGAAAAGCGCCTTAAGGTCTATGGCACCAGAAAAGCAAATATTGTTTCCAAACAGGTTTTCCAACCACTCCCTCCACCCCACAGTCACGCCATTGGTTGAGTCAGAAGCTGACATTGCTTAAAGAAACAGAGCAATGTTGTGAGAGAAGCAAAGAAACACTAAGGGCACACACAGACAGACATGTGGTCAGACACAAGACAAACAAAGAAACTTTGAACAGTGAAAAGACATACAAGACTGTCAACTAATGTTTCTGAAAATAATGTAGTGTATTATAATGTTTATGGGTATTAAAAAGGGCTAAATGTGCATATAGTGAATGAAATTATTATTTTTTAATTCATTAAAAATTATTGAATTTAATTAAAATTAAAATTTTAAATAATTTATTAATTTTGTGTGTGTGTGAGTATGTGTGAGAGAAAGAGAGGCAGAGAAAGAGAGAAAGTGAGAGAGAGACAGGGAGAGAGAGAGAGAGAGAGAGGCATTCATGGTTGTAAAACATCAGTTATAGACCGAACACTTTAATATATAATATCATGTCCCGAACTGAACACTGGGGCATGTTGTCACAGATAAAAGAACCGACTGGAGGCTTTTGTATGTGTTTATTATTATTACAAAACGGTTTCACAAATTTTATCAAGGATCATGATTCATCTCCATGTTTACTATTATTATTTTATTAGTAATGACAACCTCATCCAGGGTGTGTGAGTCCAGTCAGCAGGTGGACGGGAGGAGTTATGAGAGGATCACACACGCACACACACAGAATCCTCTCTAGCATCCCTGACTGTGGAAATGGCTGCATATAGTTATTATAATATGTGGCTGTGTTCACTTGCTTTTACTAAATGAAGAAGCACTGGAACGTGTGGAAGACTGGCAGCAACAACCGATGTCTGGTCGCATTAATATGAGCACATCTACAAATAGTGATTGATGTTGCAACATCTATTTCTATTACATCATTTGTAACCTAGGCCATAAACTGTTCCTATTTAAAGTCTACTGCTATAGGACCAAAACAGCAATCCAAAATACATATACATATATACACACACATATCTTTAACTTATTTTTATGACCAATCCTAAAATGCATGCAATCAAAATGTTTTTATAGCTCAAAATCTGTAAAAAAAAAAAAAAAAAAAAAAACATGCAAAATTATTATATATCTGCTATAATAAGAGCAAATATGCAGATGAAAACACTCCAAATTAAAGGGAACTACATTTGAGTTATTATCTGAAGATCCTGTCAACCATCAAGGTCTTTATATCCGTAGTCCTTCACAGGCTGCTGACATCATATCAGTGATCAGACCGTGCGTTGTGATTGGTCACAGGTGACACGTGGCAGTCTAAGCCCCGCCCCCACTGTGAGAGGGAATGGAGGAATGTGGAGAGGGAGGAGCAGGCAATATTTACAAACACTGTTTAAAGAGACAGAGCTCACAAAACATGACCTCGCAGCTGCTGATCATATTACCTGCAGGATCAGGGTATATTCAGCTCATCCAAACAAAGCCCCGGGACAGGACATTTTAAACGGGTGCTAATGGAAACCAGAAGCAGTTACCGTGACATCAACAACACTTTATATCTTTAACTACAAATTACTTGACCTTTGTTTGCAAATCTTCCATGAAATTCTAACTCTACATTTTTCAACTTTTCTAAATAAAACAACATATAGGCTATCAAAAGTGTAAACACACTCGTGAACTACTTATTTTTATTATTTAAAACAAAACAACAAAAACCATTCAAATGCTGTCATCTTTAACGCTGACTGTCTGCAATTTCATAAGGGACAAGTAATGAGAGGCTGTTCACTGCAGAGCCAAATGACATCCAGCTCCCCCTTTCTGGATTTTCCTTTTTTCAACCCATGACTCGATCCCTCCACACGTTAGATCCACTGAGGGGGAGCTGGACAGCATTTGGATCTGCAGTGAACACCGCTTGCAAAGAATAGAAGATAAGACCATAGAAATATTCCACATTCAACGATTCCTGACATGCCAGCACGTCGGCCATCTTGGAACAGTCAGCACACACTGTAACAATCAATGACACCAGATCAAAACTGCACAGCTTCTGGTTGTAAAACAATGTTGCCACAACAATAGAAACTTTCACATTTTAGAATGTGTTGGTTTGTGTTTTTATAAATATTCACTTAATATTACAATAGTACTTTTTAATGTTTTAACTTTGTAATGCCTTGATTTTACTGTGTTGTGTTAGTTTAGCTAAATAAAGACGGCGCAGATACAGCGACCCATAGAAATAGATGCTAAGCTCTCAGCTCCATCTTTTATTTCTGACAGGAATGAAAGTTATGCTGTGATACATCTCTTCAGTGGATTGTACTGTTATATAATGTATTTTTGGATTGTTCTGCTAATGAAACACTGCAAAAATATCTTTCCAAGAAGTTCCAGTAGACCAAAAAACAACAACAAAAAAAACAGTACGAGTTGTAGAAAATAATAAGCGATCTGGGAGCTTTTTACAGCAGATGCCATTGTGAACGGCCTCGCTGTCATAGCACTGACTGAATGGGGTCTTTGAGGCATCTATATTTTCTATGGACAAGACTATCGGCCCACCCCCCACCGTTCGCTAACAGCTCTAGAACTGGTGTAAATCTGTGATTGGTAGCGCCCGGAGTGGGCGGAGTCAGGGCCGTTGCTACGAGCGCCGTGACGTCACCATCAGCTGTTTTGTACGCTGTGTATTCTGATCTGCGGATCAGCTGGGCGAAGCAATAACATCCCAAACCATATCTGCCGAAAAACACACACAGCTCGCATACTGCGGCTCAAACGTCGTGTAACGCAGAACTTACACGTCGATTTCTTCTAAGAAGAAAGACTTTTTTCATATTTTTCTTGTGAATTTACTACCTCATATAAAAAGTATACCTAAAGCTATGCTTTAAGATTTTTTTTTGTGTTTTTTTATTGTGTGGTCGTCGCGTTTACAACTTGAATAATTTTGCAGGTAAGACAGGTAAGACGCTCAATACATCTCCTTCTGTCTTTTTAAAGCGAGATCTGTTTTGCAGCAGAATTGAGTCGGTCTGTTAACATTGCTCTAGATCTGACCTGCTTTGAACGCCAGCGATAACAACAGCTGTCCATAAACCACAGATTGCCCATAAATGGGTCTGTTTGGACAGTATTTTTATTCTGTTTTCCGTTTTAACGCGCGCGCTCTCATTTCTATCATACATCACGGTCACTGTTTTGCTCTCGTCATAGATCGCAGCCGTTGACCGAAGCCAGTTTTCTCGTCGATTTTCTGATTGCTCTTCTCACAGAATGCGCCTTAAAAATGGCATTAATGGCAAAATTGTGTTTTCAAGTCGACGTTGAATGTCAATGGATGGAATTTTTGGCATTTTGCGTATAGGAAAAACATGTAACGTTATATTCGATCAGCAACATTATCCGTTTATTATCCGATCAGCAACATTATCCTCGGTTTTTTATTAAACCAGCTATATTATTGAATAGAGTGTGATTTTTCGGGTTGACATACAGTCTGTGGTTATTTGAGTGATTTGAGAGCGCTGGTAATACCCTTGATCCGAGCTGTCATTGCTTTGACCCTTTGCGCTCAGCCAGCCTCTCTCTCTCTCTCTCTCTCTCTCTCTCTCTCTCTCTCTCTCTCTAAAGCTGCATGTTAGACGTACGCTAAAACCTTTTTTATTATTAAGAAACGCATTATGTTTGATGTACACATTAAATATGAAAACTATTTTTATACCCTGTTGTAGTAATAAACAGGTTTTTTTCTTGTTTATATCAAAACGAACCCGCCTCTCTTCTGTTGTTGCGGCCTCTGTCCGCTAAGAGGAGGGCGGTGTCTGTTGTGTCTATGGCGTCAGCATCATCAGTCATCTGAAGCCCCGCCCACTGACTCACTCTGCCTGCCTGTAGGGGAGCCAGTGGGACTGAAAGTACAATTAATACAGTTCATTGAATTAAAAATAAGAGATAATTTCTTATGTGCATAAATGAACATTAGATAAGCTTGTATTTGTATTAATAGTTAATGTGATTTGAAATCTCTATGCAAATAGATGTTGATGAACAGACAGGCAGACAATTGTGCAAATAATATTATGATAATATTCTGGCCTGCAAACTCCCAAGAACAGGTACTGGTCATATTTCATATTCATATTCCGCTCATAGTTAACAAGTTCTGGTCATACATTTTAATCCAAAATTAGAGAAAAAAATTTGACATTTAATTTGGCATAAAGAATGCAGTGTATTTTGGAGGGTTATGATTTTTTACAATTATGAAAATTACAGTGTTTGTAATTAAAAAAAATCACCATGTAATTATTTTATAGATTATTTATTGGTTATTTATAGCTCATATTGTCACATTAAACATTAGTATAATATAAATACTAGTAGTGCCACCAAGTTTGTTGTTAAACAGACTGTTAAATGTTATTTCTATGAATTTTTTTTTCCACAAACAGAGTTTCTGTGGGTCTAAAAAGTGCCTTAATTCACTCTTACACTAATTGAGGCCTCAAAGGTCATAATTTAGAGACCATCTGAAATTCATAAACTCGTGGCATTAAAGGTTGCATACGTTGCAATAATATCTTCCTTAGTAATGTTGTCCTGTTTTCCAAATATCTAAACATCTTTAAATCTCAAAATACATTTACTTGAGATGCAAATGAACTCTTGAAAAAAATTAAACAAGAACAAATATTTGAATCTATCAATGAATTATGTAAACTTCCCTTTGAATACTTTTTTTTCCTGATCCCATTGGCAGATATTTGTTATTCGTTTAATAATAAACTCACTTCATTTTGATCAATTTCACAGAAAGCAAGACTTCATATTTTATGGATCTCCAGTAAATGCATCCTTGATTTAAGAATCTTTAGACATTTGATCTGCAGGACAAGACAAATACAGAGGAAGAACAGAGAAAGAACATCATTTTTGTGCAGTGTGTTTAGAGGATACAGTCAAATATATTTCCATATTCCAGTGGTTGGGAGCAGAGCGATTCAAGCTACTTCTTTGTAAAATGAATTAAAACGGATATCTGAAAGTTGTATTTTCAAACTCTTGACTCTACTGATGTATTGTGTTCCCTTCAATTATTCCTTACGTTTTCTTTATTTGATGTGTACTTAAAGTCTTAAATTTACCTTCATAAACCCTAAAAATATTTCATGATATGGTTTTCTTGACCATCCATCCTGTTCTTTTTTCTGTCTCTTTCATATGTAGATCTTTGCACCACAACAACCAAGTGAGACCTTATATTGCACTGCGCCTTCTCTGAGACTACAAAAAAAGGCCAATACGTCTGTGATCGACCAGCCTTCCGTCACATCACTGAAAAAAAAACCAACAACATTAGTCACTATAGTTAATAAAAACGAAACAAATATTTCTAAGGCAGCTATCCCTCAGGAAACACAAAACTTTGACCTTTGACCTCCGAGGCAGCCATGTTCCAGCGGCTCAGCAGTCTGATCTTTGGGAGCGAGGAAGAAGGTACTCCAGAACTAAAGGGACCAAAGCCCTGTGTGACTGAGGCTGATGAAGAGGGATGGCTCCTGGTCAATCTGCCCGGTGAGTGTCCTACACAAACAACGAAAAACACTGTCTTTAATGGGACCTAAATTTATTAAGGTAACTTTAAAGATTGTTGAGGTAGCAAGGCAAAATGCTATTGTATATAGGGGGATTACTGTATATGAATTCGGAAAATGTTGGCTTGGTTCCAAAACCTAGTGAACTGCCTCACTATTTACTGCCTATATAGGCCATTATCTTCTGAGACATCATTATCGTAACCACCATGGAACACTTTTTTACAAAAAACGCTCAAGAATTGTCAATAGCGTTTGACATTAGCATGTTGCTAAGCTAAAGACGTGAACAAACTTACTTGAGTATCTTAACATAAATACTTCTTGCTACATGAGCTCAATTTTGTGTGTCTTGTTCCGGATTGTGTCAGACACCCCCCTTCCCACCCCAGAACTCGCTTTTTACCCCCGGAACGGGATTTTTACTGGGAATCCCCTTCTCCCTTACCCCAAGGAACTCACTTTTTACCCCTCCCAACATGATTTTTACTGGTGAGTCCCTCACCACAAGGAAGTTGCTTTTCATCCTCCGAAACTTGATTTGATTTTTACTGGGGAGGCCCTCCCCCAAAAGGAAGTCACTTTTTACCCCCCGGAAGATGATTTTTACTGGGGATCCCCTCCCCACTTCACCCCAAGGAACTCACTTTTCAACCCTCGAACTTGATTTTTACTGGGGATCTTCACCCCAAGGAACTCGCTTTTCAACCCTCGAAATTGATTTTTATTGGGAACCCCCTCCCCACTTCACCCCAAGGAACTCACTTTTTAACCCCCAAACATGATTTTTACTGGGGATCCCCTCCCCGCTTCACCCCAAGGAACTCGCTTTGACCCTTGAACATGATTTTTACTGGGGATCCCCTCCCTGCTTCACCCCAAGGAACTCGCTTTTTAACCCTCAAACATGATTTTTACTGGGGATCCCCTCACCGCTTCACCCCAAGGAACTCGCTTTTCGACCCTTGAACATGATTTTTACTGGGGATCCCCTCCCCTCTTTACCCCAAGGAACTCGCTTTTTAACCCTCAAACATGATTTTTACTGGGGATCCCCTCACCGCTTCACCCCAAGGAACTCGCTTTTCAACCGTCGAACTTAATTTTTACTGGGATCTTCACCCCAAGGAACTCGCTTTTCAATCCTCGAAATTGATTTTTACTGGGGATCCCCTCCCCACTTCACCCCAAGGAACTCGCTATTCAACCCTCAAACTTGATTTTTACTGGGGATCCCCTCCCCACTTCACCCCAAGGAACTCGCTTTTTAACCCTCAAACATGATTTTTACTGGGGATCCCCTCCCCGCTTCACCCCAAGGAACTCGCTTTTCAACCCTCGAACTTGATTTTTACTGGGGATGCCCTCCCCGCTTCACCCCAAGGAACTCGCTTTTCGACCCTTGAACATGATTTTTACTGGGGATTCCCTCCCCTCTTCACCCAAAGGAACTCGCTTTTTAACCCTCAAACATGATTTTTACTGGGGATCCCCTCACCGCTTCACCCCAAGGAACTCGCTTTTCAACCGTCGAACTTGATTTTTACTGGGATCTTCACCCCAAGGAACTCGCTTTTCAATCCTCGAAATTGATATTTACTGGGGATCCCCTCCCCACTTCACCCCAAGGAACTCGCTATTCAACCCTCAAACTTGATTTTTACTGGGGATCCCCCCCCCCACTTCACCCCAAGGAACTCGCTTTTCAACCGTCAAACTTGATTTTTACTAGAGATCCCCTCCCCACTTCACCCCAAGGAACTCGCTTTTCAACCCTCAAACATGATTTTTACTGGGGATCCCCTCCCCGCTTCACCCCAAGGAACTCGCTTTTCTACCCTTGAACTTGATTTTTACTGGGAATCCCTCCCCGCTTCACCCCAAGGAACTTGCTTTTCGACCCTTGAACATGATTTTTACTGGTGATCCCCTCCCCACTTCACCCTAAGGAACTCGCTTTTGAACCCTCAAACATGATTTTTACTGGGGATCCCCTCCCCGCTTCACCCCAAGGAACTCGCTTTTCAACCCTCGAACTTGATTTTTACTGGGGATCTTCACCCCAAGGAACTCGCTTTTCAACCCTCGAAATTGATTTTTACTGGGGATCCCCTCCCCACTTCACCCCAAGGAACTCGCTTTTCAACCCTCAAACTTGATTTTTACTGGGGTTCCCCTACCCAATTCAACCCAAGGAACTCGCTTTTCAACCCTCAAACATGATTTTTACTGGGGATCCCCTCTCCACTTCACCCCAAGGAACTCGCTTTTCAACCCTCAAACATGATTTTTACTGGGGATCCCCTCCCCACTTCACCCCAAGGAACTCGCTTTTTGACCCTTGAACATGATTTGTACTGGGAATCCTCTCCCCACTTCACCTCAAGGAACTCGCTTTTCGACACTTGAACATGATTTTTACTGGGGATCCCTCCCCGATTCACCCCAAGGCACTTGCTTTTCGACCCTTGAACATGATTTTTACTGGGGATCTCCTCCCCGCTTCACCCCAAGGAAGTCTATTTTCGACCCTTGAACATGATTTTTACTGGGGATCCCCTCCCTGCTTCACCCCAAGGAACTCGCTTTTTAACCTTCGAACATGCTTCTTACTGGGGATCCCCTCCCCGCTTCACCCCAAGGAACTCGCTTTTCAACCCCCAGAACGTATTGGAGCTATTTTTGGCTATTTTTGATTAGCAATTGGGCTGGTTTTGTTATGCAAACCTTGCAACCCTCTTTGTGTTGTTTAATTGCCATTCACCAATCCTATCCTGCTCCACAGGATAGTAAAGTGCTTAGAGAATGTGCACTCTAGAATCTCGCTGAAAGAAGTAGGTGTCACTAGAGGCGAGAAAGGTGGTGACAATTCTCCCCCCACCCCATGGAATGCATTTTCAATCGAGGGGAACACCACCCCCAAACCTGCCCCCGCCTCCGCCCCGGAACGTGATTTTAACTGAGGGGAACAATATATGTACATGAAAGCGAATAATATCACAAAATCACTGCAAGAGAAATTCATTCACCACGACAGCCCTACATATCTATAACTACCCAGATAATAATAATAGTCTGGTATAATAAACAGTCATTCAAAGATAACTGTATCACCCCCTTGAGCTCTTAGGTTTGTCATGCCCACAAAACATAAGTAAGGTGAAGTGTGAAATTTCTTTGCCAATTTGCCATTATTCCCAATAGTCCAACCCCAAGTATCGCCAAAAGTTGAGGCAGTGTTGAGGCTAGGCTTTAGAACAAAGTCATTGAGATTTTATAAAGTAGTACATGGGGATTAGAGAATAGCAATATTTTAAAAGGGTTATAAGAAACTAATGACAGTATTCCTATTCTCTATGTTTTTCTGTTGTTTCTGTATCCCTTCTCATTTCTCCATATTTGAATGAATTCCTTTTACTGGTATGTGTGCTCATGGTACTGGCATCCCCCATTCGCATGGCTTCAACCAAACCTTTCACATTCTGGAAAAACACCCTGTACTGTCTTCTATCTCTTCCTACTTCATTTAAGGCGAGGATGGGCAAGAGGCAGTATCAGTAGCACGCCCCTGTCCCCGCAGTGAATGTCATGCATTTCCGATATGTGGCCCCTCTCCTCATACCTGCAAAAAACGCAGGACTACTAGAGCAGGCAGGAGAGAGGCAGCACATCCTTCCTCCCCTTCCATCTGCTCTCCTCCTGATCCCGCCTCCTTGTCTCACCTTGAGTCATTAGAAGTGAATGTGTTGTTAAGCGAGCGGGGCTCGAGCTCCTGTAGTGACTGCAGCATGGATGAGAGCTGGTTTGTCACCCCTCCCCCCTGTTTTACTGCAGAGGGAGCCACGGCAGAGGCTAGTCCCATGGAAGACCTCCTCATCGAGCACCCCAGCATGTCTGTGTACGTCTCGGCTGGCCCCCTCCCTCCGATGGAAGAGAGCACCACCAGCCTGGCCGGCAGTGTTAGGTAAATTTCACTTCCACAGTTAGCGAAGTTTTACACATGCAACATTTAAATTAATGCATTATTGATTTTCAAACCTGTCTCCCCGCACTGCACATTTTGTATATCTCCCTTATCAGACACCTAATTCGGGTCTTGCAGTCTGTACTAATGAGTTGTTGAGTTAAATCAGGTGTGTTAGATGATGCATATGTGCTTGGGGGCCTCCAGGACAGGTTTAAAAACCCCTGATTTAGCATACTCTTTTATCCGACTATCCAGGGGTTAGGTCTCTAACCCTTAGAGATCAACTGCCTCAGCTTCAGGGTTCAGCTCCAACTCCAGTCAAACACACCTGAACCAGCTAATCAAGGTGTTTAGAGTTAGCTGGAAATTACAGGGCAGGTGTTTTGAATCTGAAGTCTGTAGGTAGGTAGCTTTTTTTAGAAGTAGGTTTGGATACCCTGGTATAGCAATTCCTCACAGAGCCGACAATGTTTGTAGTAAATAAATTCCAGGTTTATTAGAAAGCTAGATTAGAAAACAAGAAATGCAGAGAAAATAAAAACAAGAGGTAACCAGGCGAAACGCAACACATTTCCAGCATTAAGTAATTCTGTTAACTGAAAGCAACAAAGGGGTTCTATGGTTGAGGTCCACTGTCCTGCAGAGTTGAGCTCCAACACTGATAAAAACTTGCTTGCCTATGTGGTTAGGGGTTAGAATCCGTGTGTATATGGTGACGCAAAAGAGTGTGAAATTCAATGTAGTGTGCACTACTGGCGGCTAGGTGGCAACGTGAAGCACTGCCACACAACAACACCAAGTCCGCGCGCCTGCGTACAACCTTCACTGTCAAGCAGACTTTTGCGTTTTTACCGTTTACACGGGAACGCAGTGGAGCGTTTTTAAGATTTCCACTCTGGAGGGTGGTTTCACTTTTTTGCGTTTTTAAACCCCAAAAACGCCGTCGTCATGTAAACAAAAGGCACATCCGATACAATTTTTTTTACGTTTTCACCCAGGAGCGTTCTCGTGTAAACAGGGCCGTAAGCTCCAGTCCTAATTTAAAACACCTGAATCAGCTAATCAAGATCTTCAGGATCACTATAAACTTAAAGCCAAAAGTGTGTGAGGGCGAGTTGGAGCTACAGGAGCAGGTCTGGACATCCCTGACTTACATCAAATAAAAATCATGCTGAATATCAAAAACTGGAAAGCCACTGCCTTTAATTCTGACTTCCATTTTACTACTTTTCACGTTCCAGTTTCACACCATTATTTCCATTCCTACTCAAATGTTTCCCATTCTTCCAGCAGGATGTCTGAATCGGCAGTGCCCGCTGTGACCAGGAGCAGCATGACCACACGAGTGACCCGAGGAGCGGCCGCACAGGCAGGTGCCCTAGCTAAAGTCACCCAGGTCTCCAGGGTCCAGAGGGCCAAAGCCCGCACTGAGCGTCGACACCTGGCACGCAATCGCATACAGCGCCAAAACCTTGTGCGTGAAAAGGTCCAACGGCGCACATCCCACACCCGCAACTCCTTCCTGCACCAACCGTGCCAGCGCAACATCTGCCACTGAGGCATCAAAGTTTACATTGAGGGCATTATTACACATAGACACCCCAAGAAACCCATACCTACCAATGAATCCCCCTCCTTCTCAAATGCCCTCTAAAGTCCTCCCATTGCTTTTACTCGTTTTACGTCCATAATGTTATTAAGTTTCATATTAATCTGGTTTGTCCTTGAGCACAAGCCAGTCTATCTTTATCCTCTTCTCACTCGTATCTGGCAGGCAGGCCACCACAAAGCACAATTACTCTGTCTAAGATGATCTGTATATTTGCTTAAATGCCATGTACCTCCTGTGTGTGTCCTTGTAACACCTTTCCCAAGTTAGGGAAAACGTTTCCCAATCTGGGAGTATAGCAGATAAGGAGAGACATGTAAACTCTGTACAACATCCCTCTAAAGGCGCTTTTCCACTGCATAGTACGGTACGGTTCGGCCCAGTACGCTTCGACTCGGCGCGGAACAGTTCGGCTCGCTTTGCGTTTCCACCGCAGTAGTACCCCTTCAAAGTGTGTGGGACTGATCGTTATTTGCGCGCGCCTCTACTGCCATGACATCATCTTAAAAGCGCCACATTTTCAAACCCACAACACAGGAACAATGGAGACTATCGAGGGGATGGTGTTCCTGATTCTCGGTATGTGGTTGTTTTTAACTGCTAGACGGAAAAATGTGTTTAAAATGAGGCTGGTGGCAGCAAAACAAAAATACTGCTAAAAAAGTGTCTCGTGTCGCAAATCCAATGACGCTGGTAGTGACGATTCTGTCTGACCAATCAGTGATCTGCAGTGTTTCACGTCACATTTTAGTACCGGTACGGTACGCTTGGAACCTCAACAGACCAGGTACCATTTAAAGCGGCCTGAAGCGAACCGTACTGTACCGTACCATGCAGTGGAAAAGCACCACAAGTGAGCCGTACCGAACCGAACCGTACTATGCAGTGGAAAAGCGCCATAAATGTATAACACTGACACTTCAGGTACATCATCGCTGTTTGTTGAAATATAATGAGGTTCATTTTTCACATTTGTTTAGTTAGCACAAAAAAAAAGTCAAACAATGAACGCATTTACCCTAAAGCCCCTGGGTAAACTTCACTTTCGGGGTTACGCTCTGAGCCTTTTAAAGTATACTCTTTGGTCCTGAGCATGGAAAAGTGCGTTCGGCGCGTGCGCACTAACTTGTGGACTTTTGTATTCAAGCGCTTAAATCACTCACACACGTGCCGTTGTACGCGCACCGTCCACCATCAGGGAACGCGTACAGCCAAAGTATACTTTGGGCTTAAGATTCCCAGAAGAGAATTGTACCTAGTAATGTAATTTAGTAAAGTCCTACTGCAACGAAAGAGTCACATGAAAACAAGAATGTAGATAAAAGTGTGAACAAGAATTAAACAGAAAAAGGCAGTTGAGAGTTATAGTGGAATATTTTTGCAAAGAGGTCATTTCAAAGTAGATGTTGCTGCCTGATTTTCAACATTATGGCGCTAACTCTCAAAATTCAACTCTCAAACAATTGAATTTCATTGATATGACACCAATTTCATAGGTGTGCTCCTGCAAAGGCAGAACCCTTCCTAGAGAAGTAAGTTACAGGGAAAACAATTGGTGGAGAAAGCAGGCAGCATCAATTCTATACATACTCTGCATGGTAAGGAATACCCCAATATATATTTTCACCCAATATGTTTGTGTACCATGCATTTGTGTTTATTAGAGTGTTGCCTTGGGTTAGCTTAGCAACATGCTAACTTTACTGAAATGGAGTCTCTTGAGGCAGCTTCTTAAGTAATCTTTTGTAACAGAGCCTGCAGTTAAACTGAGGGTGGGCACAGGACTGATACTATGCCAACAACACTAGATTAATTATTATTTTCAGTGATCTTTTTTAGGGATTTAGCTGTTTGTCATTTTCCTAAAATGTGATGTGAAGCTGAATTATAGCTCCCTGTCAACATCTAATAGGAAAAGATCGTGGGGTAGTATCGGGGCAGTGTGCAATGTCTTTACAGGTCACATGATCAACATATAGAACATATAGGCTATAGATATAATTGTTTATAATGTGCAGGAGAGTATAGATTGTGAATTTGTGGAGGATTATTGATGGGTGACTCTTAGAAAAAAATGTCAAGAATCTTAAAATGACCTCAAAATGAAAAGGAAAACAACGAATAAGTAATTAAATACTTAATTTTTAGTGTAGCAAAAAAAAAAGCTTGAAAGTTCCCCTGTCCCGCACTTGTGTGAGAAATCACTGTGACCACAGAAACAAAGAACGAGATCTTATGACCATTTCTCTGTTACTCAATTCATCCGTTTTCAGAGGATGTCATTATTTGCATTTCATCATGCCTCTTAAATTGATCATATGATTGTGATTTACATCTTCAGTGCCCTCTGATGTTTGCCTGTCTCTCTTGTGACGGACTCGGCGCACATGCAATCACACGAACTATCCTAAAATGTGCTCTTCCTCGATAGTCAGCAAATGCCCTCAGCACATTTACAGCAAATGCGTCCACCACATTGTGATCTATCTTATGTGTGTATTCAGTAATGAATAGACTAACAATGGTGCTGAAAGTATATAATTATATGTTTGTACATTTTTTGAGACTACGTTTGCACTGTCATACGTTTTATGGAGAATCATGGTATTTAGCAGTATGTTTTCGTTTGCGTTGGTGAATGAGATGCCATTCCAACATGCATGAGTTGGGGTACAAAGCTACCTTAAGAGGTAAACAATTAGTTGCATTCAAATGTATATAGTCGCAATCTATTTACAGTTCAGTGTTTGCGTTTGGAAACATCACCTTCCTGTTTTCATGGGATCGTTTAATCGTATGTCGCTCCAAAAACTTGAGTACGCTTCCGTCTGCTGGGTGTTTTACGAAACGAACCAACATTTGCCATGTTGTCGATTCCACTGTTGTTGCATTGTTTGATTTCACATGCAATTTTCTTTATTTCTCCTGTTATTTAATGTTTAATCATTTTAGGAATTCTTCTTGTAGTCTTTCCAATCGCCTGCCAAAATCTGTAAATCTATTATTGTAGTTAGCTATCTCTTAACAAAATAATGTAAGTATAATGTAAATGCTTTAATTTCTTTGTTTTCATTTGAAATTGACTGATTTTTCATCATATTGACTCTACAGAGAGAGCAGTACGAATGTCAGTGGTGCATCTAGAAAAATCCAATGCCCTGTAGCCTTACAAGGGTCCTTAACATCGTCCACTCGAAGGTCGTCTTCTCTTCGCATTGTTTCTATGTATTAGATCAAGTGGACAAGGCAATATCACGTAATGAACGTTAAATCAGTGATCTCTGCCCTCTGAAGAGATCCACCTCTGTTGTTCACCGTCACAGCCGGGCACTGTAAACTCTGTGTTATTTCTCTCTCTCTCTCTCTCTGTATGTGTGTGTGCGTGTGGGTGTGTTCAATATGATTAATTTAGTCTGTGGGACTTTAGAATGATGTCCGTTTGGCCTCATGAGAGGCTGGTGGAAGCAAATATAGTTATTGTGATTTAAGGGAGGATTGACTGAAAACATGAAATGAGAAAAAAAAAAGACAAAAATAAATATGCTTGTATTTTTCCTCATATTGTTATTTAGAAGAGATGTTCACCTTAGTAACAAAGTACAAAATAGAGTATTATAAAGATTGGTGTCTATGATATCTATGGTGATTGTGCCTTTCACTATTCTGCATGGTTTTCATGATGTGCCGACTGTTTCATCCATACGTCATGGGCATCAGAGACCTATGCAAAATACTATGATGGGTTTCCAGCATCCATTCAGAAATGCAGGTACCAGACAATAACAATAAACACTCAGGATGCAACTGCAATCTGGACTCATTATTCACCTGTGTGCTTATTTCTTCATCTTCACTCACTTGACTTGAAAATATAGCTAATGACAACTGTTATAAATCTCACAAAAACTTTCTTATAGAGACATTTCAAAGAATACCACAATACTACCATGGTATAGTATGGCAAGCCGTTTTACCTTTTAATCATATCCAGGATATGAATTCTTGATATCAACAATCACATTTTCACTAGTTAAAATAATAGTTATTGATATCAGGAATTAGATTTCTTCTAGTAACAATAGCAATTTTTGAGATCAGGAATTACATTTCAACTAGTAAAAATTTTCATTCTTGATATCAACAATTCAATTTGAACTAAAAACTATAATTCTTGATACTAACAGTTGAATTTCAACTAGTAAAAACTATAATTCTTGATATTAACAATTTATATTCTGGGAATGGCAATAGGCATATGGCAAGCCGTTTTAGCTTTTATTCATTTCCAGGATATGAATTATTGATATCAACAATGCCATTTTTTGATATCAACAATTACATTTTTTGATATCAACAATTACATTTTTTGATATCAACAAATACATTTTTGATATCAAAAATGTAATTCTTGATATAAAAAATGTCATTCTTGATATCAACAATTGTATTTTCACTAGTGAAATGTCACCATTGGTTGCCATTCAAAACCAATTGTTGATATCAAGAAGTGAAATACAAATTTCACATATCAGAAATACAATTATTACTATAAAAACCTTTATTTTTGATATCAAGAATTCAATTGTTACTAGTTGAAATGTCTATCAACAATTGAATTGCTATAGTAACAATGTTCATTTTTGATATCAATAATTAAATTTTCACTAGTGACAATGTTAATTTCTGATATCATGAATGTGAAATACATTTTAATTGAATTGTTGATATCAAGAATAGACTTTTTAACTAGTGACAATTTAATTATTGATATCAGGATTTCACATAGTAACAATGTAATTATTGATATCAAAAATGATATTTGTACTAGTAAAAAATAAATTCTTGAGATCAACAATTGATTTTGAATGGCAGCCTATGGTGAGATTTCACTAGTGAAAATACAATTACAGATATCAACAATTATAATTTTTACTAGTTCAAATTCAATTGTTGATATCAAGAATTATCATTTTAACTAGTGAAAATGTAAATGTTGGTATCAAGAATTAGCATACTATTGGAAATCTTATTCCTGATATAAAAAAAATGCATTGTTACAAGGAAAAATCTAATTCATTTGTTGATATCGACAATTAGTACATTTTCAACCCTGCTCCTGCCGATCGACTGTCCTGCACAGTTCATCTTCAACTTTAATCAAACACACCTGCCTTTAATTTTAAGGTGATCCTGAAGACCTTATTTGGTTGCTTCAGGTGTGTTTGATTAGGGTTTGAGATAAACTGTGCAGGACAGTCGATCGGCAGGAGCAGGGTCGGGCACATACCCTGGAAATGAATAAAAGGTAAAACGGCTTGAGGTATAGGCCAACATGTAGCTAGTAGCCTATGTTTGTTTGTGTTGTCTGCTACACATAAAAATAAGGGTTAGCTACAGTGTAAACCTAATTATTACACCCACATTGTCCATTATTCGGAAAAACCTCAGTGTGTTTGACATGCATTTAGTCACACACACACACCTTTGATTGATGAACCTGTTCTGCAGGATCCGCGTCTCTTCACGAGGTGTGACGCATGCGCAGTGTCTGTGTGATTGTTCTAAAGAAATGACTGCACTTGTTCGCCAGTACTAATATGTGAGAAAGGAGCTGAACCGCACGTTTAACCTGTAAGTATGATGGAAAGGCTGCATTTAAAACATTATAGCTGTTAATAATTGCTAATATAGGCTAAGTCAGACGTTTTAAACATGCCAAGACCTTTGTGTTGTGTTTATTCCGTTGCTCGTCTTGAAACGCGCACACCTGCGACTTTAACATCGCGTTAACATGTCAGCTGATCCTTCAGTGTTTCTGCTCCGTATCCGTGTGAAAACACAGCGAGTGTGTGAATGAATCAGCTGTATGTTTACAAGACACAGCTCTGACCTCCGTGTCACGGATGGGAAATAATAACAGAAGGAAGGAAATTAGTCGATGTCGCGTTGAACGCGCGCGCTCCGGTTTGTTGTGGTGTTGTGTGTGTGTGTGTGACGGATGAACCTGAACGCTGTATTATATAGGGCCTATATGTATGTATGTATTTCACACGACACTGGTTGTTCTGTGATCTATTAGGATGTGATCTGTAACACAACAGTGATACCGTGACGGGGAACTGATTGGTTCAGGAAGCGCCGGCTCTTAATAGCGCATCTCTGATATATCTATGACGTGGTGTTTTATTATAGCCCACAGACAACATCCATGACAAATTGTTTCTTTCTGGATATCGCAAATAGGGAGGCGATGCTGTGTAGATATTAGCTAAACGAGCATCATCATCCTTCGACATATGGAGGCCTTTGAGGCTGTGATATATCATGTCATTCTTGAAGAATTGAATTAGTTCAGTTTTTCAAGATAATGCTTGTTTCTGAACACCTTGTTAAATACACTTGCAAGGTGAAGTGGGGGGACATTTCAGCTCTTGGAAAATATAAATTTTACAACAACTGTGCATTCAAAACACTTTATTTGAGATAAATTGAGTGTCCTCTTACAGAATTTGGTCAAATACTGTATATCTATAAATATATAAATATATTTTGGTCAATAATATCCTGAGCTATTCTGTTATATTTTTCTTGTAGTGTAACAATCCCTTTTTCAGATACAATTATTAAATTGGGAAAATTGTTTAAAAAAAGATGTTTTATAGGAAGTTACCAAGCTGAAATGGCACCAAATAGTAAGTATGACCCATTAGAGGTTTGTGCTAAATCACTGTGAATGCAATTGGTCATTATAGTTATAATTAAAGGGACGGTTTACAAAATCTATAAAGAAACTTATATATATTTAAATCAACATGTATATAGTGAAAATAACTGGTCTTCTTTTTTATTTTTACTTTTTTATTAGCTTAGTTTATTTAAAATATTCCTGTTGTGGGACATTTAATGATTTTTTCTTTGAAGTAGTCTATCCGTAAATATTATCATATAAAATGCATACCTGGTATTTATAAAAGGATGTGTACAATTATGGATAAGCATGCAAACTAAGGCAAATCAAAGTAGCTAACAACTCGACATGAGGCCCAAAGAATCTCCAGAGCTTTTATTATTTATTTTATTTTATTTTTTAACATATATTTGTGTAGTTCTAATAAACATGTAAGTAATGCTAAAATTTCAGTTCACCCAAAAGTGACAATTAATTTATTCACCTTCAAGCCATCCTGTATATGACTTTCTTCTTTCAGCCGTACACAGCCTGAGTTATATTACATAAACGCATGGCTTCGCTCCAGAAGGCCTGTATTAACCCCTGGAGTCGTGTGGAGCGCTGTAATGTGGACGGATGCGCTCGTTTGGGCTTCAAAACTCAGTCTCCATTGAAAAGCTTGAGTAACTCTCTAGTTTTTCTCAGTCACTCACTTTGGTACACTTCTCGAATGAGATTTGAAATTCTCAAAACTAATTGTTCAATCTTCACATCATTGTGTCCCTTGTAAACATCAAAAACAGTTTTTCATTCAGTTTTTCAAGTTGCAAATGCTTTGGTACATCTATGGAAATGATAATGTACAATTCCTACATTATCAATTGCTTATGTCATGTTGATCAAAATGTATTACAACGGGTCTCTGCTGAATAGTCTCTCCCCCCACAACATTTACACATTCGAGTTTTTACATGCAAAATATTTGAACAAGTTGTAATAATATGTCAAGCATACATTTCCATTAGAATGTTTTTCTAAATCTGTCTAGTTCACATTTAGTTTTTTTTTTTTTTTTTCTGTGGGCTTTCGCAATGATGTGGTCTGTCAACAAATTAAAGTGCAAACGGTAAAAGGGTAAATGTGAATCTTGTCCAGTCTCTTGCAATCAAACTCCCACACACACTAAGGTGTTTTATTAATTTACAATAATTGTCATCAAAACTTTATCCATAGTTTATCCATCATCTCCAGAGTACACTGTTATTTTGACGACATGACTAAGCGATTTGATCCGTACACAACGACACAAGCACTAGTCATTCTGATGCACTGCCATGTTCACTGAAAGATCTGAGGATGTTGAGCAAGAGACCGGCTTTTGCAGGGAATCCATGGTGTTTTGCTATTTGAACGAATTGTTTTGAGAAATGCATTTACTGTTTTGCAAATGTCGAGGATGATTCGACAAATCTACCAAAGTGACTGAGAAAAACTGTAATTTAACTCTGATTGTGTTTGGCTGAAAGAACAATGCATGTACACCTAGCAAGGCTCTTTTGAAGGCGAGTTTTATGGTATAATTTTAATTTTTGGGTGAACTCATCCATTGATTCTGAAATAATTTCAACTGTAAAGCAGCTATTTTAAAAGAGGAAACAATAACATCATTATTTAGTTCAGTTTAAAGGGGTGATGAACTGAGAAATCAAATTTTCCTTCTAAGAGGTCATCATAATATAAGAATATCCAGTAAGTTTCAGAACTGAAAACGTCCTTGTTAGTCCAATAAAATTTTAAAGCTTTTATTGACACCAGCTTTAGCAAACGACTCGTTTTTCAAAGTGGGGAACTATGACGTCAAAGAGGATAAAACAAGGCTCAAAACTAGGGTAGAAAATAGCCTATTACTTATTCATTTTAATGTTTAAAGTGAACGTCATAAATTGACCTCAGACAACAATATAATAAATAAAAAAAAAACAGTTCATGACTCCTTTCATAACAGGGTTAATTTTCATCAATTATGAAACAAATTCAATTCAGCCATAAAGCTGCTCTACAGAAAGAAAACGCATTAATAAATCACAGGATGGCATTACTGATGTATTTGATATTGTAAAAATATCTTGAGCTTGAGTTCACCACAGACCTTATTCTAGATTTGAACCAAAAAAAAACGATTCAAAATAATTCAGTACCATGGAATCGTAAGTGCTCAAATGCTGAATCGTTGTGGGTTTTGGCGTACGAGAGTGATGGTCCTCCATCCGGCTGATGGTCTGTGGTTTCAGGAGAAGCATGTACGCTCCGGCAGCCGAGACGGGAGTGACCGTGGTGGAGAAGGACGCGGCTCTGACCAGTGCGTACTCCCCTGTGGACTACATGAGCATCACCAGCTTCCCCAGACTCCCGGAAGATGATGCCTCCGCCGACAGCGCCTTCAAATCACGCAAAGATGACGAGAACTTCCTCAGTGAGCAGGACACAGGTGAGCAAACGCGTCTGATGCCGTCTCTCCCTGTGAAGGCCTCCTGTACAGAGCAAACACTGTCAAAGTAATTCCAGTTCGCATGGACATGTGGAAGTGAATAAAAAAAAAAAAGGACCGTTCGTGAAGAAAGACGATAGTCTTTTCGTTTCAACCCAAATGTGTGTCAAATATGGGCAAACCCAAATATTGGGTTAAAAATGTAATTAAAAATTTTAACCCAACTTCAACTTTCATTTTCAGCTGTAAATTTTTTAATTCCATTTTTAACCCAGCATCTGGGTTTGTCCATATTTGACCCAAATTTGGGTTGAAATAACCCAGCATTTTTTAGAGTGTATATTCAAACACGCATACCTATAGTAGACTAATACGCATGTGCACGCCGTCAGCGGTTTCACAGATTTGCGTTTTTGTAGTTTACGGAAAGATGATAACAGTTTTTTAAAATGTCGACGCTTGCACCTGGAACATTTTCCGAGGTTTGCGTCCTCGAGCTGGTGGCACCGGTATCATGCAGAGGCCCAATCGCATTAAGGGTCGTGTTATGCCTGTTCAGATTAAATGATTTTAGCCCGATTTTGGCACAATCCGTTTGACATAGGGTATTGTAGGGATTCGTAAAACGTGTCATAGTGGGCGATAACCTACGTCGCGTCTGCGTCGTCCACAACGGTTTGGTCACATGTATGGGGTTGACCAATAGGAGCACAGAAGCTTTTCAGTACACGCCTTTCAAAAATGGCGAAACGAAAGATAGACGATGGTGCTAACGTTAAAAATAAAACTAAAAATATATAAGAAACAATATTTTACCTCAAGTTCTCTTTGGAGGATTGACTGCCCATACTGTCCTCTTCGAGCAATCCAGGAACGTGTCCACTGTCAGGTTTTCTCTCTTTTTTTTACGTTTTTCTGTTTGTTTACGTTCGTTTCCGGAAGTCACTCGCTACTAGTTTTGCCTTCTCGATGACCTCACGCGCGCCATTAAAGACGGCATGCGATGACTGGTCAGGAAGCAACGTGTAGTCTGACGTGTGTCTTGTCCACATCAAGACAAGATTTTAGGAGTCAAAATAGCGTAATCTGACACAGTGACTATCGTAACAGTAAAAAATGTCGTGTAATCTGGACAAGGCATTAGCGGGCCTTGAGTTAATATGATCATTGCGACAGAAGTGAATCAATCAAAACTAACTTTAGCTGGACAATAACTTTATTCTAGAGCTGCTGTAAAGCCTAAATAATCTGTTACTGTAATCTCCTGTTATCATTGTAAAGCTGCTTTGAAACAAATATACATGTTAAAGGGATACTCCACTTTTTTTGGAAATATGCTCATTTTACCACTTCCTCAGAGTAAAACAGTTGGGTTTTACCGTTTTCAAATCCATTCAGCCCATTTTCTGCTATTTAGAAGAATATCAGTAACCAGACAGTTTCTGGTCTCATTGACTTCCATAGTAGGAAAAAAATATACTATGGGAGTCAATGAGACCAGAAACTGTCTGGTTACTGATATTCTTCTAAATATCAAAAAATCAGCTGAATACATTCAAAAATGGTAAAACTCAACTTTTTAACTCTGGTGGTGTGGTAAAATGAGCCTATTTCCAAAAAAAAGTGGAGTATGCCTTTAAAAGCGCTGTATGAATGAGGGTGCCTTGTCTCTCAGAGCCGGACCTGTTCCTGAACTCGGCCCGGCTGCAGCGGCTGCCCTCCTCCGCCTCGGACCTGGCCCGGCACGACATCTCTCCCCTGAGAGAGACCACCAGAGACCCGCTGGCGCAGGAGTGCGCGTGCACACGGGACGGCCTGACCGTCATCATCACTGCCTGCCTGACCTTCGCCACCGGGGTCACCGTGGCCCTCATCATGCAAATCTACTTTGGAGACCCTCAGGTGCGCTCACACACTGCAACACACTGACTAAGTTTACATGCAGCTAATAACCCGTTCAAAACTGGGATATTAGCAATAACCCGGTGGCAAACGGCTATGTAAACACCGGCAAAAACCTGAATATGCTCATATCCCGGATTTTAAAAAGCAGGATATTATACCTGGGGTACCCCTTTTCTAACCCGAATTTTTTGGTCATGTAAACACGTCGGCATATCCCCATAGTGATTTGTGTTCTGCGCATGTTCTATTTGCAAGGAATCTTGGTCTTTTGAGTAGAGAAACTTCTCGGCGTTGTGTATTATCTTGGTTGCAGTTCCATTAGAATTCCACTGGAGGTGATCGCGAGCGAGAGCAGAATGAATGGGAGTCTATGGGGCTAAACGGCTAAAAGTGTCTCTTTCACCTGCTTGTCGTTAAATCAACAAAAATTTTATTGTTGATTCTGCAAGTTCAATATAGATTATAGGCCAAAAGTCGAATGAACGAGTACTTATGTCCTTTTGATTTCTTACAGGTTAGGCCGTTGTTGGCTGGAACACGCTAGCATTCTGCTATTGTGTGACGTCATCACAGTTTTGAACGGATTTTTAGAACAGAAAAGTGAACTTAAAAATGCTATTTTCAGCTGAGTGTATTATCTTAGCCCTCCCTTTTGAATGCAACTTTCAAATTACTTGACAAAAAATTACATCCTGAGAAAAGTGAATTTTTTGGGGTGAAACCCCATTGACTCCCATTCATTCTGCACTCGACCGTGAGCGCCCCCGCATGGACCAAGATGTGTTTCTGCAGCCAGTCCAGAACCCGGAAGTAACCAGCCAGTGCCTATTCTCTTCAATTAGACATTCTCTGGCACAGCATACTTTTGGAGCGAGCTCAGTAACGTTACCAGCATCAAAGCGCAAACAAAGGCGATCGCTATCTGCTCCAAACTATTCATTTTTCCTTGGATACAGGAAGAAGAATCAGAAATGAAATGACGCATATTGCGTCTTAAGGTTGTCCTTGCGTTTAGACGCTAACCGCGCGTTGCCGTTTACATCGGGATATTGCAATTCCATGTATAGAGGAGAAACTCTCTCTGCTCACGCATGTAAACGGGTTATTCCTAATGTTCAGAAACCCGAATAGTGACCTTAACCCAACCATAACCCGAAAATTGGCTGCATGTAATTGTAGTCGGTGTTAACCGAAGGAAAACTGCTTACCTTTGGCTAACACTAGCAAAAAAGGTAGTTGGTGGGCTTGGTAGTGCCTCAAGTTGATTTGCTCATTGAGAAAAGGTGTGCTATTAATGTTTTGTCCAATCAAACGTATCATTTTTTGGTGTTTTTTTTTTTTTTTTTGGCCTCTGTGTGACCGCTTCCCTCAGGTGTACAGTCAGGCCGCAGTGGTGTCGGACGTGGCCCGCTGCACGTCTCTGGGCTTGGACGTCCTGGGCAAACACGGGTCCAGCGTGGACGCCGCCATCGCCGCTTCCCTCTGCCTGGGCATCATCCACCCCCACGCCTCGGGCATCGGCGGGTACGAGCTTAACCACTGGCTTTCTTTATCTAAGGGAAACTTTAAAGGGTTGGTTTACCCAAAAATGATATTTGGTAAACATAAGCTCAAAACATCTAACATATGAAGCAATCGTGTCTCTTCAGAAGTCCCGGATTAAACCAATCCATATGAATGAATCAGTTTTACAACGCCTTTATGAACTTTTTCAAGTGTAAAATTGAGGTGTAATGGACTTTCAGTGGAGGCACAGAAGTCTCTCAGGGTCTTCATTTGTGTTTTGAAGATGGACAAAAGTCTCAAGCGTGAGTTAATGACCGATTTTCCATTTTTGGGTGAACTGTCCCTTTAAAGATTACAAGCTTAAGAAAAGTAGACAGTGGTTTCCCACTGTCAGGGAATTGTGTTTGCACTGGAAAAGTAATAGAAGTGAGCAAAATCTTAGGAATTTTCTGTTGTAAAATATTTTGCATATCTCTTTGTGATGGTTGTCTTTCTGAGAAATTGAGTGCAAAGTCTCCTTGATTATAATTGTTTAAATATTATTTCAAAAGTCTAGAAAGAAATCTGTTGAAGGATTTTTTTCAAAAGCAGAAATAACTGTAAAGTTCATGGAAATTGGATTGGTCCTAAGACCCCCGGAGGTTTGAAGAGAGCGCTGCGAGGAGGCATGTGTGCAGGGATGGAGAAACTGATTTTGTGGGTGATTCATCAACAACAGTGAGTGACTCTATCGTGCTTTCTTCTCAGGGGTGGCGTGATGCTCATCCATGACATCCGGAATAACGAGAGCCGGGTCATTGACTTCCGTGAGATGGCACCCTCCGGGATTCACGAGGACATGATGATAAATGTTAATCAAAGGGTAAAGCTTTATTTTGATCTGCTTTCATCTTGGCTTAATGTGCGTCATATGATGATGGTAAAAATCCGAAGCAAATCAATAAGTGCAGGTGTTTGCACAAACACAGTATCTGCAGTGTGCTGGTTCTGCAGGCGCTGACGTGTCTCTCTGTGTCTGTTAGTCGGGTCTGTCCGTGGCCGTCCCAGGCATGATCAGTGGACTGCACCAGGCTCATCAGCTGTATGGAAGGTATAGCAATTCCTCATCTCACCTTCTGTCTGAAATGCACTGTAGTTCCTGTCTCTTTAAAGCCCATCCAAAAAGCCCAGTCTACTCTGCTCTGATTGGTCAGATGGCTCAGTCTGTTGTGATTGGTCTACTCTGCTTTGATTGGTCAGATGGCCCAGTCTGTTGTGATTGGTCTACTCTCTTCTGATTGGCCAGATGGCCCAGTCTGTTGTGATTGGTCTACTCTCTTCTGATTGGCCAGATGGCCCAGTCTGTTGTGATTGGTCTACTCTGTTCTGATTGGTCAGATGGCCCAGTCTGTTGTGATTGGTCTACTCTGCTCTGATTGGTCAGATGGCCCAGTCTGTTGTGATTGGTCTACTCTGCTCTGATTGGCCAGATGACCCAGGCTGCGTTCCAAACCGCATACTCAATGAGTAGGTACTTAATTTCAATAAGTACTTGCTCATCGAGCGCTAAAAGAGTAGGTACTTTATAGCCAAATCTCGTTGAGTATGAATGCGAACCGGACATCTGCCATGTTGACGTTATCATGTGACCTACTACGCATTATCACAAGCGCAACACCTTCATGCAATAAAAAAAAAAATATGAACGATACGTTTAATTAATCTACCTATAAATATCTTGATATTGATGAAACTTGCTCATTTTGTTGTGGTATTGTTGAAGAAACAGCTGCCTATTTATTTTGTGACTACATTTAGGGTTGATTTAAGTTGTTATATTTTAAACCCTACTAATGTGACCAACAGTATTATTCTAACGATATTTTTTTTATTAAGAAACCCCAAAATCATCATCTCTTGATTATGTTGTTAATTTCTTTATTTTATACCCAAAAAGTTTCTCCTTTAAGTTTTCCTCTTTTTCTTCATGAATTTACCTCGTTTCACCCCTCAGATATAACAACTTTTTTTATGTATTAGAACTATAATGAAGATATTTAGCCTTTTTTATTGTTCTTATTTCCTGTGTATAAATATAATTTTATGTCATATTACGATGTACACAAACCGATGATCTGTTTTGTCACTATGATTGTTACATAAACTATAGTATCTTTCCATGATCTTGCATATAATAAGTTTAAATTATATGAGCGACAGGTGCTCTAACACTTCATAACATCAGTAACTTGACGGCACAACCTAGAACAGCGTTTGTAATGTCTGCACAAAGGAGACGGGCAGCTGCTTGAAGATCTCTTTTGGAGAAAACTGTTGATTTTATACTCAAAAAATGTAAGTATCACTGCTTAAATTAATATTACCTCAGAATGAATTGCATTGTTAGCCCACCCCAAAACTTAATCAAAATAATAATATTAAATGACCAATACATAACTTTTTATATACTAAAAATATAATTTAATAAAACAAGCAAAATGTAATTTGTTTTGTAATATGACCGTAATGCATGAATTATATTGCTAAATGCAGTGAAACATCTCAATTGTCAGTCAATCGATGAATTAATGCATGAATTAATTACATTTTATATACTGACAACAATAAGAAACATGAATAAATGAGTAAAAGAACAAATAAAAGTAAATAAAAGTAGCCATCACAATAAACAAATGCATATACAAGTCAACACATGAAACAGCTTTATTCAAACTACAAGCATGTATTTACAGGCACTGAACCCCAAACCCTACTGCCGACTCAACACAGCGGTTCCCATTCTTTGATGACGGCATTCAGCATCATGAGCCTCTCTCCACCGGATAAACACACGCGTGTTCTTCTGTCCTTGTAACATACAGACAAGATTCACATTACGAGCTCAACACTGAATTTACATGCTGAGGTTAATGTGTTAACTCACTTTTAATCCAACTTAAATGTTCCTCAATATATCAACACCAATAAGGGACAAATTAAATATATATCATGTTTAGTTACTTTATAGATGTTTTTATTCACAGCACATAATTTGTCCAATGTAAGCAGTGTTGACAACAGTGAATTATCCTACATAATAGCAGGCACACACATGTATTTTTCATGTTGGGATGTGCTCACCTGCCATACTTATACAATATTTTCCTTCCTGATGTAAATAGACATTTTAAATAAGTATGGTTATGTAAATACACGTTGGAAACGTAACTTTACGGTTACTGGAGCTCCCCTGTTAGCTATACATAATAAAACATATGTTTACAGCAAAATCACAACTATACTATACTGTCTAACTCATTTAGACGTTCAACAGTTAAAACGTTTACTCTATAGTAGTTTAACACATACGACAAGGAACCGTATTTACTCACATTTGAAACCCCCCGCGTCGCTTATCTCCGCGATGTTGATATTGACGTATCCTCTCGCGTGGCCTCCTGGGATAGATGAGTATCATGAGTAGCCGTGGAAAAGCACTCGAAAATCTGGGCGGAAGCAGTAAGCCATCCGGGAACTTCTCGCCTACTCTTTTTATGAAAACTGATGTTTCGAACGTACTGCTTCCTTCACGTACTGTTTTCGCCTACTATATAGTAGGAAAGTAGGCATATTGGAACGCACTTAAGTCCGAATCTCGCGACAATTACTACGTCACCCAGGTAATTCTCGCCTACTCTTTTGGATTCATTCATACTTTTTTGCTCGCCTACTCTTTTTCCCATACTAAATAGTAGGGAAGTATGCGGTTTGGAACGCAGCACCAGTCTGTTGTGATTGGTCTACTCTGCTCTGATTGGCCAGATGGCCCAGTCTGTTGTGATTGGTCTACTCCGCTCTGATTGGCCAGATGGCCCAGTCTGTTGTGATTGGTCTACTCTGCTCTGATTGGTCAGATGGCCCAGTCTGTTGTGATTGGTCTACTCCGCTCCGATTGGTCAGATGACCCAGTCTGTTGTGATTGGTCTACTCTACTCTGATTGGTCAGATGACCCAGTCTGTTGTGATTGGTCTACTCTGCTCTGATTGGTCAGATGACCCAGTCTGTTGTGATTGGTCTACTCTGCTCTGATTGGTCAATTGCCCAGACTGTCGCCCACATTCTGTCATGTCTTCTTAAAATGAAATATATATATGTGCATTATACAGTGGTATGTCTGATCATGAATGTGATAACAGGATGGAGTATTTATGTAAACAGGACTTTGTTGTCATGGGTTTATAATTTTAAAAAAATTCCCCCCCAACTCTTATTTTTTTCTTGCTCTTACATTTTGAGAATAATCAGTGTGTTGTTGGTTTGTGTTTTATTGATTATTTTCACTGTCTGTGTGAATCATTTGAGGCGGCAGACTGAAACCACACCGTCATCATTACGTTATAGTCATTAGGCTGGTATTTTAATGGTCATCATTTTTGATAGTGAGCCGTAAGTCTGAAGGGGCGGGCATTATGGAGATGTTACATGGAGACGCAGCTTTATCACAGAAATAATGGCAGAACTACAAACAGGGCATTTCAGGCTGGGGTTTTCTGTTCAAAATCCAGTCCAATGTGGATTTAGGATCACATGATTTAGGAATGTCACTCTGGGCTGAAAGATTTCCACATGCATATTTAGCATCAAGTTCATGTTGTTCACACAGATTCATTGTGTTGACCAACAGAAAGCTGCTTTGTTTGCAAGTGTCTTCCGTGTGAGCTGTACCTCATACATCGCTACACTATTGACGGTAGACAATGGACCTCTTTTGCCCGTGACAGCATTTTTTTTAATGTAACAGAATTAAAAAGGTATAACTATTCTTAAAGAAAATAAATGAGATTGCTAACTTGTATGACTGGTCTAGGCATTTTATGCCACTGGAAATGAGATTTCTGCTTGTGGTTTTGGGATATTGTGGACAATTTTAAGCTCCTATAGGTCCTATTGTGCACCCACTTGAAGACATCTTACTGAGTAATAGAGAATTATTTTTCATATTTTTATCAATTGTCACTTTAAATGCTTGACCGTGGTGCGTGTTCGCCCTTCTCTAGACTGTCGTGGAAAGACGTCATCACTTCGGCTGCAGACGTGGCGAGGGACGGATTCAACGTTACGCATGAGCTGGGTGAGCACGTGACACACATGACTGAAGTCTACAGGACGGGTCTGTAGGGTTTTCACGGTACAAAAAGATACAGTAGTCGGTACCAATACCAGTAAAATATTGCGGTTCTCTGTGCCAGTTTCAGTACCAGAGCGAAAACTGTTGAATATAGTACTTTTTCTTTTTTTATTATTCCCATTTTGTCCAATCCGATTGTCATTACTGTCATTCATCACAGTTTCTGACTCAGTCACACACTTAAATACGGCTGCCGATCCAGAAACTTCGCGGTGTACTGAGCAGCTTGAAAAACGAAAGTTGTATTCAGATTGTGAATGGGTAATAACCGGCACGCAAGAGAAGACTCGAGGCTGCAATCTCTAAAACACAAGCTCACTGAATTCTGCACTCCGTCAGAAACACCCGTTATAATAAAAAAGCTGTCTTGATTGTAAAACGCATCTCTTATTTACATGGTGTTTACACTTTGTTGGTAGGCTTATAATGAAAGGATTAGCGAGCGTGCGGCTCCCGTTGACTGGATACCGACTATCACCTCTGATTGGCTAGTGCGTTCATGCGCTCAATAGATATGTTCGTGACTGTGTTTTTACAAGTGCTGATTATTGTCGCCACTGTAAATAGAAACCTTTGTGGTTTAGAAAGCAATCAAACACGCTTTTTTTTTTTTTTTTTTTTTTTTTTTATTGCAGGTTAACAAAACAGTAACACATACCAAGTAAGATTCAGTGAGACACATCTACAATACAGAAGTAGGAAAGGGGAAACAAAAAACAAAAAAACAAAAAAAACAAAAAAAACCAACAGAGAACAGAAACTCACAACAGCCCCACACAGTTATCGACAAAGTGGTATATGTAGGCACACGAGATCCTTTCTGTGATGCAATTCGGTAGTATCTGAATAGTTGTAGAGGATATGATAGAGACTTTGACAATCAAACACGCTTTTAAGGTGTCGTCAACTGTTTTTATTTATTTATTTAATTATTTTGCTTGGCCTCGTTAGTAGCAGTACATTTGACAGAATGCAGGCTTTAAAAGTAAGTAGTTTGCCGAAAAGAAATTCGGAAGAATGTGTAGCAAGAAAAGTAGACGTTTCGGTTTAGTTTTTATGCTGAATTTGAAGCGGTTTGGTGTAACTTCCTTCATCTTTCCCCAGCTGATGCGTTGTCTAAAGTGAAGAAGGAGAATGTGTCGGACGCTTTCAGAGATCTGTTCCTGCCTAGCGGTCAGGCTCCACTCGCGGGAGTCCTCGCTAAACGTCTGGATCTAGCGGCCATTTTGGACAAGATTGCAGCCAATGGAATCTCAGAGTTCTACAGTGGGAATCTGACTCAGGAAATGACATCAGTGGTACGTCTCTAATGTTATTTTAGTGGTATTTATATGTAAGGATTAAAAGCTCGAAGGGCATTAACCCGCTTATACCATGGTCACTTGCCAAATAACACATTTTTAAAACATTAGTTTATATTTTAATTAGTTGTACAATCGAAATCTAAACTTTTTACAAACAATAACTTGGTTTCCCTGACGGTTTATTTAGCAACCGGAGATATTTATAGTCCACTCAGCTCAGTTTAGCTAACTTAAGAGCCATAAAGTAAAATTTTATGTCAAATTTTCCAAAAAGGTTAAAAGAATTAACAAGCTCATTGTTGTATTTGTAGACTATAGCTGTGTCTGAAATCGCTCCCTATCCACTATATAGTGCTCTATATCGGGTGTCGGCCATTTTGTAGTGGTGTCCGAATTCTGAGTGAACGACATCATTCCCTACATTCATTCACTACTTTTACCCACAATCCTCTCTGAATTCGAGTGTACATTCGATGTACACTTGGTGAAGCACTATTTCCCACAATCCAATGCGGAGAGAACTTGAAAGTGCGGCGCGAGCAAGTTTAAACCAGAGATTACATTACATCCAGTGTAGTGGAGGATTTGAAAAATATCCGTTAATCGTCGTTAGGAATCGGATATAATAACGGACGCCGGAGGGCGCTCGACGACACGTCATCTGTGAGCGTGAGAGTTACAATTTCAGTCAGACAAAGCTGGCACGGAGGTATATATAATTACAAAATAAAGTCATTATGATTGTTATTGTTGTTAATATTATTTTATAAAGTAAGTAACGTAAGATAAAAGGAGTTTTATCAGTACGTGTGACGAAGCCTTTTCTGCGACAGCTCCAACTCTCCGACGCACAGTGTAAGCGTCAGCGTCCGAATTCACTCACTTCATCTCGTTCACTCCTTGCAGATATACTGCACTCAAATGCCATACACTATATAGTGAATGAGTGAACGAGTGAGCGGTTTCAGACACAGCTTATGTATAACGGCTAATCTGTTGCTATGGTTACTCACAGCTGATGTAGCCAGCGCATTTGTTCATTCATTTCGAACGGTAAGCGGTCCGTTTCACCAGAACTCCTTTACTAGGTGTCCTCTCGCTTTTAATGGACACCCTGCAGCCAATCAGAATCGAGTATTCACCCAGACCATGGTATAAATACTATTATAATATTTATTCATATTTTTTTTCAATTTAAACACCTCAAACACTGCCATTTTAACCATTCTGCAGGTGTTTTCTGTGTGCTTCTAATAGCTTAACAACAGAACATATACTAGTGGCATTATTATGTGTTTTTGTGACCAGGTTCAAGCTAAAGGAGGCGTGCTGACAGAGGATGATTTCAAAAACTACTCCACTATCATACAGAAGCCGCTGCAAACTCTTTACCAGGGTAAAAACCCATCGGTGTATAGACCCTTTTACAGTTGGTAAACATGGTGACGTTTTTTGTGGGCGGAGCTTAGGTGGAGGCAGAAAGATCCATCTGGCCGCTTCACTAACGCTAGTTAGCAAGGATTGTTAGCTTGTTTTTTAACAATGACTGGAGAAATCCGATATTATCTTAATGTGTAAGGTCACTCAGTGTCCAGGACCGCGATTGTTATTTCCAAAAGGACGGAACCAGATTGGCTGACCCGTAGCCGCCTACACGCTCACTCAATGCATGGACGATCTGACAGGATTAACGTACGTTACCTCGGTTGAGTGGCCTGACTTCTACACTTACAGAGAAACCGATCGTAAAGAGAAACTGAGGGCATATAAATCTTTAGATGCCTATATGGTCCTGTACAAGACTTGTGTGTATGATCCGCAGTTCTGCTGAGCCAGCGCCGAGACCATGACAATGTAAAGACTGACATTACAGTGCGATTTTAATGATGTGAATATTTTCTAGAAATAAAAGTTCCAGACACAGCATATTCATTTTTCAGCAATTCTTGCACCAAACAACACAACAAGATGACATTTAATAATAGTAACAATTATTTAAGCTCCTTATTATGTAGCCGAATCTGTGCTGGTTTGAATTGGCCGCCTCCAGTTTTCACTTTGTTTTGCCTCCAGCTAGCGCCGCGACGTAACTGTGACGTCGGCGCAAAAGGGGTCTATAGCAAGCTGCTCTAAAAGAGCCGACGAGTCTTTGAAATGTCTGTCTGTGGCAGTTTATCTCTTGATTTACTGCAGAAGTTTAACTCTCTGTTGACCTTCACAGCTGCCAACAGTAGAGCAATAAAACACCCTTCTGCTTTAGCCTGTATCAGTTTCAGGAGTAGTGCACAATTATTGCTGTTGCTTGTCTACTCAGAACTGGGTGGACGAGAAATGCAAGGGGAAGTTCAGCAGTATTTTATAAAGTACACAGTTCATACTTTGCTCGTGACGTTACAAGTGCTGGCGGGCAAGAGCGTCGTTTTCTAGCCACGAAACCTAGTAAACTAATCAAGGATCATGCCAGGATGTCGCCAGTTTTAATATACTAAAGATGGTGTTTTTGAGGTGTAAACGACATGCCAGATAGTTGTTGTGCGTTTGGATGCACTAAAGTCAATCGTGTAATCTTAACATACACGTTTGCCAGTAGGTGGCGAGAGCGCGCTCATCTGTACGTGATTTGATTTGATATGATATGAGATGAATGACACGTTACTGTTGCACTGCGTCTACTTATTACTTGCAGTTACTTTGCATGCATAGTATTGTACACTTATTACCATACTACATTACAGCCTAACAGATTGCTAACAGGATTATACGCATCTCGCTGCTCTTGTCTGATGCTGTGGAGTGGATAAGCAGGTCGGCTACAATGCTTGACATCCTGCTAGCCATATATGATACAGTTGGCATAAGTCAAGCTGTCATTCGCCAGCAGGCAGGGTGTACATATTCAGATGAAGACTTCATCAGATGTCACTTTGTGTATAGCTGCAAACATAAGCAAATGGAGTAACGGACCTTTGCTTTGATTTTTTTTCACCTCCCATATGACAGCGTTGTTAACACATCCACTCTTGAAAAAAAGATAGCTATCTGTTCTTTTGTAGGCTTTCATGTTTTGTGTGGTGTATTGTGACGGATTCTCTATAGAGAGCCTAAGTCCCGCCCCTTCTCTTCCGGCTCATGGGACCTTATTTCGGAAAAAATATGAATGGTAATCAATGGCGAGAGACAACTTATCTTTTTATTCCGTCTGAACTGTGTCCTCAATTACACATATGATGTTTGTCAATTTAAAAGATAATTCCGAAAGTCAAAAACGTCGCAGTTTGTCATACAACAGAAGAGTAACATTTAGTTTTATGTGAAAATCGCTCTATGAACTACATCTCCCGGGAAGCGAAACCAGTGAGATCCGCTGCTCGTGTGTGTGCAGTCTAGTACAAAACACTTAGGTACGCGTAGCGTTACGATTATAACGTAAGACTATAGAAACAATGACATACATTAGCCTCAGTAAAGTTAGCTTCATTCATTGAGAAAATGTGCGCCTTTGGGGTTTGTAGTCTTTGTAATTACGTATTTTCACAGTCTTATACCTCAACGGTTTTACATCAAACTGCGACTTTCTTTACTTTAAAATGTATCTTTTAAATTGACAAACATCATATGCGTAATTCAGGGCATAATTCAAACGAGATCAAAATATTTGTTGTCTCTTGCCATTGACTACCATTTAATATTTTTCCGAAATAAGGTCCCATGGTGGTTGACCGCAAGGGGAGGGACTTAGGCTCTCTATAAGATATAACTCATGTAAATATCTCCGAACTCCAAGTCTGATAGAGACTTTGCCAGCCTCAAAGCAATGAAAACATCAGCGGTTGCTGTGTATGGGTCACACACTCCGAGTATGTTAATCTTTTCTTGATATCTAATTTTAACATTCGGTTACATATGGTCTAAATAGTTAATCGATTGTATTGGAAATTTGCAAGGCTGCAATTCCCCTGGCTGGCCACTGTTTGTCGCCATTTTCTCAACGTTTGTTGCCCGCCATGGTAGTCACGTGACGGCAAAGTGTGAATACTCATTCTAAGGGAAGTATCTGTATGGAAATTGGCTAAAAGTTAATAATTTTGGTCCAAAAATAACAAAACCTACTACTTTACTCAGCATTGTATTATCTTCCGGTTCTGTTGTCAAGCCGCGTTCATAACATGGATAATTTTAAATGGTTTAGTGTAAATTTTTTGCCCATATTTTGGAAAATGTTGTTTTTAAAGTAAAAAATGATCATTTTAGCCACCAGATGGCCATAGAGCTCCACTATATGCTGTTTGACTAATTGAATTCATCGAAATATTATAAAAATCACAATTCTAACAATAAAAATGACTTTTTTTTTAAAGTTTAGCATTTTTTGCACTGAAATCATTCAATAATGTTGTCACTACAATTTTTTATTTATTTATTTTTTTGGTAGATCTCGAAAGGATTGACAGCCGTACAAAGTTTCAGTGCCATTTGGACAAAATTTTCAAATTTAGCAAAATGCCCCGAAGAGCATCAGGGGACTAGATTTCTTCTGCTTGGGTGTTATGTGATGCTTTAGTTTTCCAGCAGCCTGTGATGTCTCAGTTCTCCAGATAGACCAGGCCTGTGTTACTGACCGTGGCGGTGTGTGTGTGTGTGTCTCTGACAGGCCAGCGGGTGTTCGCTCCTCCTCCGCCGCACGCTGGAGCCGCCCTGCTCTCCGCGCTCAACATCCTGGAGGGGTTCAACATCACACGCCAGGTGTCCCGGGGACAGATCTACCACTGGGTGGCTGAGGTACTCGCATTTCACTGGGCACATTGTTTTCAATAGTGATGTGTGTGTTCTTAGTAATCAGATTATTGTCTGCTTGCTCTTTTCATTATGTGTTACACACTGACTAAAGAGTTTCCTGTTCTATTTGATGCAGGCTTTGCAAAAAATGCTTTTCTTACTCAGTATTTTTGACTTATTTCCAGTCCAAATATCTAAAATCTCTTAAATCAAGATGCTTTTACTTGATTAGTGACAATGCCAGAGGATGTTATCTTGTTTTCTGGGGGGGAAATCTAAATGAGTTTTTGCTTAAAAATAAGCAAAACGATCTGATAATGGGGTTAGAAAAGTAATTGTTTGCATTTGAATTATGATTATTTGTCTTACCCCTTTGGCAGATAACCCCCCGTCGCTACATTTAGATTTTCCCCCCCAGAAAACAAGACACAACATCTATGCGTATGAATGGAAGTCAATGTAATGAGAAGCGTCATGTGATCACCTCGTTCATTAAGCTTAAAGGGATTGCTCACCCAAAAACTAAACTTGTAAATTTAGTATATGCTATTATAATTTTTATTATTATTATTATTATTTTTTTTTTTACTTTCAGGTTAAAATTCTGAATTTTTAGAAAATGTATGTTTTTGTCCCCCTTATTAGTAGTTTTTGAAATGTCCATATAGTTTTTATTTATTTCTGTTTAAGTAAATCAAGTTTAAATGATAAATATTGCCTTGGCAACTAGCTAAAATAAATAAAAATAAACAGTTAATTGTTTAATTTTAGTTGACATTCAAATTTGTTTCATTTGACTAAATGATTTCAAGTGGTTTTCTGAATAACCGTGGCGCTCAGGCTCGTGTAATGCTCTGTTCCTGTCGGTCTCGTTTGCTGGACGTGTAGTCACTGAAGATCGCTCTGTCCCAGGCCAGTGGACTGGGAGACCCCATGTTTGACGACTCGGTCTCTGAGCTGGTGGCGCAGATGCTCAGGTGACTATTGAGGCAGAATCCTTCTAACAATAATTAGAATCAGCATTTTCTGTTCTAACAGTGAGTTTCTCAAGGCAGTGATCAGTTTATTCATGGCATTGTTCAATATATTTTCGATGTGATTGGCTGAACATTCATGTCTTTGACAGTAAAACCCAGGCTGCTGTTTTCCGGGAAATGATCAACGACTCGCAGGCATCGGCCGCCGAGCACTACGTCCCGTCGTATGAGCTGCAGGAGGGCGCTGTGGCCAGCCAGCTCATGATCATGGGCACCGATGACCTGATCGTGTCTGTTATGAGGTGCGTGACTGTGAGAGAGAGTGTGTGTGTGTCCGGTCCAGCTTCAACCCTGGTAAACACACCTGAACCAGCTCATCAAGCTCTTCGAGTGTTTTAAAGATGCACTCCAGAAGCCGGATTGGACACCACTTACTTATGCTGAACTTGTTGATTCACATTCATGAATGATGTAACTTATGCTCTTAGCTCACTAAACCGGCCGTTTGGGAGTCGCATCGTGACTCCCTCTGGGATCCTCCTCAACAGTCAGATTCTGGACTTCTCCTGGCCCAATAAAACCCACGGCTCTGCGGCGTTCAATCAGGTACGTTTGGATGCCCTCGCGTAGTTAAACCTGGCACACGCTTCACCATAGCTACCATTTAAACTTTTAAAGGGTTTTTGTTTTCTGCATCCTTTGATTTTTGCTAATTAAAGTCATCCTGTTGTGCCATTTAAGTTTAAAATGTGCTTTGAATTATTTAGTTTGCCTTTGCCAAAAGACTAGCCCTTCTGACTTCTGCAAAACTGCTCCCCAGAAAGTCATGTCAGCAAACCCCAATATGCCATCTGACAGTGATTTTGATTGGCTGAAAAAGCCCATTTTTTCCTGATTGGCTGAAAAAGCCCATTTTTTCCTGATTGGCTGAAAAAGCCCATTTTTTCCTGATTGGCTGAAAAAGCCCATTTTTTTCTGATTGGCTGAAAAAGCCAATTTTTTTCTGATTGGCTGAAAAAGCCAATTTTTTTCTGATTGGCTGAAAAAGCCAATTTTTTCTGATTGGCTGAAAAAAAAACATTTTTTCTGATTGGCTGAAAAAAGCCAATTTTTTTCTGATTGGCTGAAAAAAAAACATTTTTTCTGATTGGCTGAAAAAAGCCCATTTTTTATGATTGGCTGAAAAAGCCCGTTTTTATGATTGGCTGAAAAAGCCAAATTTTTCTGATTGGCTGAAAAAGCCCATTTTTTCCTGATTGGCTGAAGTGATCTTTGGGAGCCGATTAACATTGTTTTACCGTATAGAGTAAGTGATCTTTGTGAGCCGATTAACGGTGTTTTACCGTATAGAGTAAGTGATCTTTGTGAACCGATTAACAGTGTTTTACCGTATAGAGTAAGTGATCTTTGTGAACCGATTAACAGTGTTTTACCGTATAGAGTAAGTGATCTTTAGGAGCCGATTAACGGTGTTTTACCGTATAGAGTAAGTGATCTTTGTGAACCGATTAACAGTGTTTTACAGTATAGAGTAAGTGATCTTTGTGAACCGATTAACAGTGTTTTACAGTATAGAGTAAGTGATCTTTGTGAGCTGATTAACAGTGTTTTACCGTATAGAGTAAGTGATCTTTGTGAACCGATTAACAGTGTTTTACCGTATAGAGTAAGTGATCTTTAGGAGCCGATTAACGGTGTTTTACCGTATAGAGTAAGTGATCTTTGTGAACCGATTAACAGTGTTTTACAGTATAGAGTAAGTGATCTTTAGGAGCCGATTAACAGTGTTTTACCGTATAGAGTAAGTGATCTTTAGGAGCCGATTAACGGTGTTTTACCGTATAGAATAAGTGATCTTTGTGAACCGATTAACAGTGTTTTACAGTATAGAGTAAGTGATCTTTAGGAGCCGATTAATGGTGTTTTACCGTATAGAATAAGTGATCTTTGTGAACCGATTAACAGTGTTTTACAGTATAGAGTAAGTGATCTTTAGGAGCCGATTAACGGTGTTTTACCGTATAGAATAAGTGATCTTTGTGAGCCGATTAACGGTGTTTTACCGTATAGAATAAGTGATCTTTGTGAGCCGATTAACAGTGTTTTACCGTATAGAGTAAGTGATCTTTGTGAGCTGATTAACAGTGTTTTACCGTATAGAGTAAGTGATCTTTAGGAGCCGATTAACAGTGTTTTACCGTATAGAGTAAGTGATCTTTAGGAGCCGATTAACAGTGTTTTACCGTATAGAGTAAGTGATCTTTAGGAGCCGATTAACAGTGTTTTACCGTATAGAGTAAGTGATCTTTAGGAGCCGATTAACAGTGTTTTACCGTATACAGTAAGTGATCTTTAGGAGCCGATTAACAGTGTTTTACCGTATACAGTAAGTGATCTTTAGGAGCCGATTAACAGTGTTTTACCGTATAGAGTAAGTGATCTTTAGGAGCCGATTAACAGTGTTTTACCGTATAGAGTAAGTGATCTTTAGGAGCCGATTAACAGTGTTTTACCGTATACAGTAAGTGATCTTTAGGAGCCGATTAACAGTGTTTTACCGTATAGAGTAAGTGATCTTTGTGAACCGATTAACGGTGTTTTACCGTATAGAGTAAGTGATCTTTAGGAGCCGATTAACAGTGTTTTACCGTATAGAGTAAGTGATCTTTGTGAACCGATTAACGGTGTTCTACCGTATAGAGTAAGTGATCTTTGTGAACCGATTAACAGTGTTTTACCGTATAGAGTAAGTGATCTTTAGGAGCCGATTAACAGTGTTTTACCGTATAGAGTAAGTGATCTTTAGGAGCCGATTAACAGTGTTTTACCGTATACAGTAAGTGATCTTTAGGAGCCGATTAACAGTGTTTTACCGTATACAGTAAGTGATCTTTAGGAGCCGATTAACAGTGTTTTACCGTATAGAGTAAGTGATCTTTGTGAACCGATTAACGGTGTTTTACAGTATAGAGTAAGTGATCTTTAGGAGCCGATTAACAGTGTTTTACCGTATAGAGTAAGTGATCTTTAGGAGCCGATTAACAGTGTTTTACCGTATACAGTAAGTGATCTTTAGGAGCCGATTAACAGTGTTTTACCGTATAGAGTAAGTGATCTTTGTGAACCGATTAACAGTGTTTTACCGTATAGAGTAAGTGATCTTTGTGAGCCGATTAACAGTGTTTTACCGTATAGAGTAAGTGATCTTTGTGAGCCGATTAACAGTGTTTTACCGTATAGAGTAAGCGATCTTTGTGAACCGATTAACAGTGTTTTACCGTATAGAGTAAGTGATCTTTGTGAGCCGATTAACAGTGTTTTACCGTATAGAGTAAGTGATCTTTAGGAGCCGATTAACAGTGTTTTACCGTATAGAGTAAGTGATCTTTGTGAGCTGATTAACAGTGTTTTACCGTATAGAGTAAGTGATCTTTAGGAGCCGATTAACAGTGTTTTACCGTATAGAGTAAGTGATCTTTGTGAGCCGATTAACAGTGTTTTACCGTATAGAGTAAGTGATCTTTGTGAGCCGATTAACAGTGTTTTACCGTATAGAGTAAGTGATCTTTAGGAGCCGATTAACAGTGTTTTACCGTATAGAGTAAGTGATCTTTAGGAGCCGATTAACAGTGTTTTACCGTATAGAGTAAGTGATCTTTGTGAGCTGATTAACAGTGTTTTACCGTATAGAGTAAGTGATCTTTAGGAGCCGATTAACAGTGTTTTACAGTATAGAGTAAGTGATCTTTGTGAGCTGATTAACAGTGTTTTACCGTATAGAGTAAGTGATCTTTGTGACCCGATTAACAGTGTTTTACCGTATAGAGTAAGTGATCTTTACCGTATAGAGTAAGTGATATTTGTGAACCGATTAACAGTGTTTTACCGTATAGAGTAAGAGATCTTTGTGAACCGATTAACAGTGTTTTACCGTATAGAGTAAGTGGTCTTTGTGAGCCGATTAACGGTGTTTTACCGTATAGAGTAAGTGATCTTTGTGAACCGATTAACAGTGTTTTACCGTATAGAGTAAGAGATCTTTGTGAACCGATTAACAGTGTTTTACCGTATAGAGTAAGTGGTCTTTGTGAGCCGATTAACGGTGTTTTACCGTATAGAGTAAGTGATCTTTGTGAACCGATTAACAGTGTTTTACCGTATAGAGTAAGAGATCTTTGTGAACCGATTAACAGTGTTTTACCGTATAGAGTAAGTGATCTTTAGGAGCCGATTAACAGTGTTTTACCGTATAGAGTAAGTGATCTTTGTGAGCCGATTAACAGTGTTTTACCGTATAGAGTAAGTGATCTTTAGGAGCCGATTAACAGTGTTTTACCGTATAGAGTAAGTGATCTTTAGGAGCCGATTAACAGTGTTTTACCGTATAGAGTAAGTGATCTTTGTGAGCTGATTAACAGTGTTTTACCGTATAGAGTAAGTGATCTTTAGGAGCCGATTAACAGTGTTTTACAGTATAGAGTAAGTGATCTTTGTGAGCTGATTAACAGTGTTTTACCGTATAGAGTAAGTGATCTTTGTGAGCCGATTAACAGTGTTTTACCGTATAGAGTAAGTGATCTTTACCGTATAGAGTAAGTGATCTTTGTGAACCGATTAACAGTGTTTTACCGTATAGAGTAAGAGATCTTTGTGAACCGATTAACAGTGTTTTACCGTATAGAGTAAGTGGTCTTTGTGAGCCGATTAACGGTGTTTTACCGTATAGAGTAAGTGATCTTTGTGAACCGATTAACAGTGTTTTACCGTATAGAGTAAGAGATCTTTGTGAACCGATTAACAGTGTTTTACCGTATAGAGTAAGTGGTCTTTGTGAGCCGATTAACGGTGTTTTACCGTATAGAGTAAGTGATCTTTGTGAGCCGATTAACAGTATTTTACCGTATAGAGTAAGCGATCTTTGTGAACCGATTAACAGTGTTTTACCGTATAGAGTAAGTGATCTTTGTGAACCGATTAACAGTGTTTTACCGTATAGAGTAAGAGATCTTTGTGAGCCGATTAACAGTATTTTACCGTATAGAGTAAGCGATCTTTGTGAGCCGATTAACAGTGTTTTACCGTATAGAGTAAGCGATCTTTGTGAACCGATTAACAGTGTTTTACCGTATAGAGTAAGTGATCTTTGTGAACCGATTAACGGTGTTTTACCGTATAGAGTAAGCGATATTTGTGAACCAATTAACAGTGTTTTACCGTATAGAGTAAGTGATCTTTGTGAACCGATTAACAGTGTTTGAGTGTGTTTCCGGTTTGTGACGTGCTGCTCGTGTGTCCTCAGCGTAACGCCGTTGAGCCGGGCAAGCGTCCCTCCTCGTTCCTGATGCCGGTGGTGGTGAGGCCGTCGGTGGGGGTGTGCGGGACCTACATCGCCCTGGGCTCCTCGAACGCGGACCGCGCCGCCAGCGGCATCGCTCAGGTAAGGCCGGTCCCGCGTGCGTCACATAACACACCTCGCCTCGCTCACCAGCCACTCATTCTGCTGTGTGTTTCCGCAGGTGTTGATCAATGTCTTGTCATCACGCAAAAACATGAGTGACAGTGTGTCCTACGGGAGACTCCATCCCCTCATCCAGAACAACACCCTCCTGGTGGACTGTGAGTTACACTACTGTATATTATAGTGCTAAGATTTGTGAAAGAAGTCAAAGCTGCATATATTTCACCACAAATGCAGTGAAATATCATTACAGTTTAAAATCGCTGTTTTCTTTGTGAATATATAGTAAAGTGTAATTTATTCCTTTGATCAAAGCTGAATGTTTAGCATCATTACTCCAGTCTTCAGTGTCACATGATCCTTCAGAAATCACTCTAATATGATGATCTGATGCTCAGGAAACATTATCAGTGTTGAAAACAGTCGTGCTGTGTTTGTTCAAAAGAACAGCATTTATTTATGTGTAACATTATAAATATGTTTACTATTCATTTAATAATTGTAATGTGTCCGTCCAGAGTAAAAGTATCAATTTAGTAAAATTTACGAAAAATTTCACGTTTTTAAAAAATTGTTAATGTTAACAATTGAAACACTGAGACACAACAAGTACATACTTTATATATAGTGTGATTCGCCACTCGAGTGTGTGTGATGTCCGGGTTGCGTTGCGCTGTAACTGCTCTGATGTGTGCAGCGCTCTTCCTGCCAGCGGATGTGGCGTCTCTGACCCAGAAGGGCCACGCGGTGCAGAAGGTGGACATCATCTCGCTGGTGGAGGGAACCCGCAGGACCAACGACCTGATCATCGGCGTCAAGGACCCGCGCAGCAGCGATGCCTCCGCGCTGTCCATGCCCTAAACACACACACACACACACACGGGAGCTTGTAGATAGACATAGGATTGTACTGTCATACTGGTTGTGCATTAAATAAGCGAGTTATGAAGACAGCGAGTTAACACTACTGCTGATGATGGAAATGAGCCTCACACACACACACAGAGCTTGCATGCGCACACGATCACGATGACCAACTGTGAAAGGCAGTAAGAAATGTGCAGTGTTTTTTCATCATTTACCTGTATATTTCCAGGTTACTCCGCTTATCCTCACACACACAGTGCCTGTAAGACTTCTGGACATAACCACTTATTATTTATTGATATTTTCTTCATTGTGGAGTTATAGTAAAGTCATCAAAACTGTAAAATAAAACAAAAGGGAGGCATGGGGATTATGCAGTGGCCAGAAAGATAGAGCTGCACGATTCTGCCTAAATATTATTATTTGTTCACAATTCTGAACTGAATTTATTAGAGGTTCTGACAAAATGTTAACTGCTATTTAAATATATATACTATATATATATTTTGTAGTCAGTTTGAATGAATGATTCATTAGGTGTGTTGGACTTAATCTCATCCACCGATAGATCTGCTCCACCCAACGACTCACTCCAAAACTTCACTGATTTCATTACTGGATGAATAAGCGTTAATAAATTGTTGAATCAATTATTCAAAGACAAATCGATTTTTAACAGTCTCTTGTCGCCACCTACCGGTGTAATGATGTGATTGATCACTATCGCTGGTGTTTATGCATGCTATAAACTTTAACCCCAGGATTGCTGTGATAATTTGAATTATTTTAACACAGAGATAATGAAACTGGTTGAAAACACTGTTTGAGTTTCATATAACACGATAACCGCTGTCTCTGGATCGTACTAGTCAAAGGTTTAATATCACTGATGAATGTTGCCATGTAGGACATACATCGTGTGTAGCTTAACTTTTAACAATTAATCGTGCAGCTCTACCTAAAAAAAATAAATGTAGATATTTAAGCGTATTTCTTCCCAGACCAGTGAATAACCCGTGTGGGAGATCATGTGTAATCATCCTGGAAGAAATTTACATCATAACTAGCGTACATAAATTATTTTAAGAAACATTTTTGTTTGAGTGTGTCCAAACTTAACTTGTACAGTACATGTCATTTTTTTTTTTGTTATTATCATATTAGCTCTTTGAGGACTGTGTGGGAATGGGATTATGCCTTATTATGCGAATGACTCGAGGGTTAGCGAAAGGAAAATAGAGGGTTTTTTTTTTTCCTATATATCTCGAAGGATCTAAGAAGTCTTCGTGAAGAATTAGCTTCACAAATGTGAGTAAATGTTACATAAAGGGGATGAAATGGGCTTTATGCACAGCTGCACTACTTCCTGGACTTAAGCCAGCTCCTTGCTTCCTGTCTACCATTATTGGCCAAATTCATTAATTCAGGTTTGTCTGATTATTGTTGCCGTGACTACTGAGGTCAGGCACACCTGAATTAATCAATTTGGCCAATAATGGCAGACAGGAAACAAGGAGCTGGCTTAAGTTCAGGAAGTAGTGCAGCTGTGCATAAAGCCCATTGAATCTGGTATTCTTACAATGACAGAGGGGGTAAATGCTACTGTAAATGAATGATGTATTATATATTGATTATAGAGGGTTTGGTGGTAAATGTATAGTCTTATTTTATTAGCAAAGGAAATTACCTAAGAGGCAAATAAGATGGATTTTCCTTATGTGTCAAAATCTTTCACATGCTATTTAATATGTATATCCTGCCACAATGGCTTCAACAGTTTTTCTTTTTAAATTGTGGTTGTCCGTTTGCTGATGTAGTTTTAACAAGTTGTCTCTTAAATGTGAAAACGGTGAAATTAATGCCTTGAATGTTTGCTGCACATATTTTCTGAGAGACAATCAGTTATCATTTATGTGTTTTTCTCCCAAATGAACAATTGCACTGTAGCATCAATGTCGTGTGTAGTTTACAATGAGATGATGAAGAATAAATATTTATGTGTAGTTTCGTTACATTATTTCCAAACTCATTGTTTTGTGCCCACTAATCCACGTTGCTCATGTAGGCCATCAACCAGTCGAAGGACTAGTCTAGTTTAGATATAAATTCGACTAAAATTAAATTATTATTAATTTTTTTCCCCACAAAGTATTTTAATGCTAATAAATATTTAGTTTTAATTAAACATAATTAAAAAAAAAACGACACAGTACAATGAAAGTGAATGAATTGAGAAAACTAAAAGAAAAACAATAAAAAGATATGAAATTAGATAATAAAATGAACATGTAACATTAGATTAAAACTATCGATAACCGTCAAGAAAATAGTGATGTTTGTTAATTTCATGGACAGTCTATCTGTGAAGCTGCAATGCAAAGTGGTCACTACTCCAAAAAAAGAGAAAAAGGTTGTATCTTTTAATGAGTTCGTGAAGCGGAACCTGTGTCTTTCCGGCGAGCGTTCTTTTCCGGTCACCTAGCCCCGCCCCTTCGGTCACTGTGTTTTGGGCCAGCGATATTTCTGTGTCGATGTTTCTGAGATCAGAGCCGTTTTTGCGTTTCTGGACCCTAGAGCGGGCGCGCGCACGCACAGCGCTCAACCTACGTGCACAGCCGCCTCGAGAGCGCGCCGTTAGCGTCTGTTAGCATTTACCTGTTTACTGCAGCAAAACCACTCCTGATGGACTGACAACGGTGAGATTTTACCACCTCATTGCCTCATAGAAACATTAGCATGAAATTAGCCCGTAAGTGTGTGCAGTGCACGGGGGAAAACAGTCTTTTATGAGTGTGATAGCGACTCTGTGTTTGTGTAGCTAATGCATTAGCCTGAGTGAGGTAAACTCATTATAACAATGCAGGTGTTCGTTACGGTGTTATTGTTTGCAGTGCACGTACCAGATATGAGCTTTAAAGTCGTTATAATGTTGTGTTGTTTGTCTTGCGCTGAAGTGATGCTTTTTGTCTTTGTTTTGATATGGCTAATGCTAATGCTAGAGAAATAACCCAAAATGAAGCTCTTGAGTGAAGTCATCTCTAATTGCAAAGACAATAATATTCGAGGTGTTGTGTAAAATATATTTATCAGTCACAGTGTGATCGGTTTGCAGTGAAACTCCTCTCTGAGGCTCCTTATACCAATATTTGACATCTCATTAGAAGTGTCAGTGTTGCTTCACTGAGTGGCTGATATGTTATTTGAAACGTTGTGTGTTTGTCAAAGTATCATATATTACCATTTGATAATGCCATCCCTATACCATGGTATCGCCACAGTACTTTATACAGTTACAAGGCTGGTTATTGTTGTAGTACACATTTTATTTAACCGGGTTTCTTCATAACATAGCTAATGTTCAGTCACTGTTTCCTGTTGTCTTGCTTTTGTCTATTATGAAGTTGTTTTAGCGTTTTCTGTTTAGGAGCTAATGCCATTTCTTTATTTAAAGAATAAATCGAAATTTCCATTAGGTATGCATGCACGATATATCAGCCACCGTATCGGTATCGGCCGATATATTAATGTTAACGTGGTCGGCCGGATAAGAAATTTTGGCTGATATATTAAAGCCGATAAAAGGATTATTTACTTCAGATGCGCACTATACGACATACAAGTTTTGAATTCCTTGAAATATGATTGGAATCACTTTGTTAAAGTGTAAATTGCAGGTTAAATGTTTCACGAAGATAACGCAATGTGTTTACTAAACTTAAAGATGAGAACAATTGTCCGCCTGCAATTGTTTTTAATACCAAAATCCTGCATATAGTATGAAAAGTTGGTACGTTGTACAGTGGTTTTAAAGGGTTAGTTCACCCTAAAATGAAAATTAAGTAATTAAGTACTCACCTCCATGCTGTACCAACCCTGTAAGACCTTCGGAACACAAATGAAGATATTTTTGATTAAATTTGAGAGGTGGATCACTGCTACATAAGTTGCTTAAGGGATTGAAACTTGACGGCCCAGAAAGTCATTGAACAAAATGTTCAGTGTGACTACAGTGGCTCAACTATAAGTTTATCAAGTGTCGAGAATATTTTTTGTGAGAAAAAAACAAACAAAAATAACGCCTTTATTCGACTATTCCTTTTCTTCCTTGTTGGCCTGAAACGAGACTTCAAGAGATTTCCACGACGCATGTGCGAGAATTGCGATCTCCTTCAACTACTTCAGTTCAGTTCTCGCGCATGCGTCGTGGAAATCTCATGAACTCTTGTCTCAGGCCTACAAGGAAGAAAAGGAATAGTCGAATAAAAGAGTTTTTTTGTTTGTTTTTTCGCACAAGTAGTAGTCTCGTCACTTGATAAACTTATAGTTGAACCGCTGTAGGCACATGGAATATTTAAACATTTTCTTTAATGACTTTCTGCGCCATCAAGTTTCAATCCCTTAGGCAACTTATGTAGCAGTGATCCACCTCTCGAATTTAATCAAAAATATCTTCATTTGTGTTCCGAAGATGAACGAAGGTCTTACAGGGTTGGTACAGCAAGGGGGTGAGTAATTAATGACTTAATTTTCATTTTTGGGTGAACTAACCCTTTAAGCACGTCCCCTCTTTCCACTAGGCTGGGCGTGATGTCATAAAAGGGACTCTCACTCTCACTCCGGTTATGGAATTTCCCTTGCGGTAATGTTGAGTGGCTCAATAGCGCAATATGCGGTATTACCGCCATTTATTTATTTATTTAAGTTATATGTATTTGTTGCTTTATAAATAAAGTTAACGATGTGGACAAAAACGAGGACATTTTCAGTAACCAATGTAACCAAAACTAAACAGCGTCTACAGAATATGTGCAATATGCGACTTTCACTCAGCGCGCATATTGTTATGACAACGGACTTTGAGCGAGTCATTGAACCGTTCATTCAACGAACACGTTTGAAAAAAGCTGATTCATTAAAAGAGATGTAAAGAAACAAGATGTTAATTACTTTTAACTTAGAGGTTCAACTTTTCAAGGCTCAGCTGAGCAGCAATGCGTCGCATGGGCAACGCTGATGCTTCACTTATTAGAGACCCATATAGCATTGATTCAATGCGTGACTCACTGATTTTATTTCCCCGCGGCTTCCTTTTGCTGTGGGATGCTGACCAGCGCTGCTGCTGCCGCGCATTTATGGGAAAATACCCGTGAACAGAACGTTAAAATGATGATGCGACAAATATTTCGCTTCCCTTTGACACGACAAGCTATTCACGACTTCAAAGACAGACGCAGGTAATTGCACGCGCTCTGCCGATCTGAGTTTCTTTTAACTTTCTGATTGACTCTCAAAACGCCCAAAGCGCGACGCCGATGGATTTGACGCTTCTTGCAGCTGAGAGTAGCCAGCTTCCATTGAAAATGAATGACTTCCGGCCGCTTTGGAAGCTCAAGTCGGCGGCGGTGTAAACGTACAGTAAGGGCAGGCTGATTTATACTTCTGCGTCGGACCTACGGCGGAGCCTCTACACTATAGACCAGTGTTTCCCAGCCCTGTTCCTGGCGGCACACCAACACTGTGCGTATTCTTTGTCTCCCTAATCAAACACGCCTGATTCAAATCATCAGCTCATTAACCCATCTGATTATGAGCTGATGAGTTGAATCAGGTGTGTTTGATAAAGGAGACAAAGAATACTCGCAGTGTTGGTGTGCCGCCAGGAACAGGGTTGGGAAACACTGCTATAGACTACGCGTTGGTTTACATTTATACTTCTGCATCATTGTCCTCGTTGACGAGCATGCGCATGCAGAGGGAGCATGTGAAACCTGTGGAGCGGTTCTAGCAGACCAATCATAGCGCTTACGGAATGCGTAGAATTGTTATGATCAATGAATCTTCTTTTATAATATCTACACTTTGTTTGTTATAATTCATGATCACTGACCAAAAAGTCGATTTTGAGCAGTGAGGGGAGTCTATCATAAATGCTTCTGATTGGCCATTGTGAAATCAACACATATGTCAACACATATGTCTGTGATTGGCTACATCGCTCAACACTGCAAACGTGTTATAAATAGAAACCCTAGCCTGTAAATCGTTTTTATTTTCTTTTAGTTGTTCTTGTTGCTTTTCTTGCGACAGATGAATA